TTGTATTATGCCCCCATATCGTCTCTATTTGCGACGGGTCAGTGCTAAGAGCGCAAATTGCACTGGCAACTTTTTTTTTCTTCTTTTCAAATATTGTATTGTTTTCACGAGCGCATTTTATTAACAATTATTTGTTGTTGTTTTAAATGTTGAATCATTTTTTTTGAAATAAACATGTTATTCATTGCTTGAAAAAAAAAAGAAACAATCGTAAATTAAATGCGAATTGATTGATTAATAACAAAGTATCGTGACTTTATTTGCTTGTCATTTTGAGGGCTGAAAGAAATGTGATTTTCTTAAATCCAAGTTTGCTGAATTGGAACTCATTTGTTTGAACATTTTTTCTTCTAAAGAATTTCGAAAAACGCGGCGTTCAGACGAAATTGTGTTGTTACAGGAAATGTGCCACCCATTTAGTTCGGGTAGAATCCTGTTAATTTGATTTTTCCTCGAATTTAATGTTATTAATTAGTGATTGGTGATAATCAGGGAAATAATATTTCGTGTGTCGTGTCAATTGAGAATACATCACCATGATGTGGTTTCTCGGTCATCTTATTGGTTGATCATGTGCACAATGACGTGGCCGTTTGTTTTAATCAAATTTGCTGTTGAATTTTGTGATTGACATTGCTCTAGGTCGGTTTACGTAATGTGCACACTAACGTGTGCTACGAACGTTTCGCCCATCATGAAATCGTATTCAGTATAATGACTCCAATGTAAGCGCTGAATACAATGCTTATATGATATTTATATTTACTGATTTTCTTTTTTTACAAAACTGTGCGACTACAAATGCATACAGTGCCACAACAGTGAGATGCTTCCATTGCTTCATTGCGCTTTATTATTCACATGTACATGTGTGTCAGTTGAGCAGGCGATTTAAATTAAAATTAGCAGCTGTGTGTTGCGCCTGCACTCATATGTTGACGAAAGAAATTGAATATTGTGGGTATGTTTAATTTTACGTCGTTAAATTGACAATTAATATTCGGATTCGAAAAATTCATAAAAATTTGTTGTGAAAATGTGCCTTTTTTATCGCCTTCTGGAATATTCTGTATGCAATGCATTTCTTCTCTCTCTCTCTCTCTCTCTCTCTCTCTCTCTCTCTCTCTCTCTCTCTCTTATCACACATACCATTTACACATTGCACAAGAATAAAGTGTAAAATATTTTTATCTGTGAAGCACATTTATATGAGAAATTCATGAAAGTAGTATACAAAAATTGTTGAAAAATTTCTTAAACAAAATCGGTTGACAATTATTATATCCGGCTTTAATATCACAAATGAACGTAAGATAATACATTTTTTTATTATTTTCATTTTGCATATGAATCAAAGTCATTATATTTCTTTGTTCAAAAAGTCGATGCTCTCACGTTCGAAACATTGTATTAAGGATATAAATTATATCTAAATATTTAAAAATGCATTATTGCAGTTGACAAAAATGGCATTGATGAGAGAAAGGCAATGAGAAAAATCCAGCGGCAAGAATTTTATAAAACTAAGTAAAACGGCATCGCGCAACAACAACAATCACAACAAAAATGCACTGTGAAAAGAGAACACGACATCTTTTCAGTCGTAACAAGAAACCGGTCGCATACCAAAAACTACTACACTTACTTCTTGGTCGTTGGCGCTCCTTTGTTTATCTCTTCAATTTGCCGCACTGTTCAACGTAAGTTTCAATGCAAGCAATGTCTCAAAGAACGACCAAAAAGAACAGAGAGAGAGAGAGTGAGAGAGATCGAAAACAAATCGAATGGACTCAATGGAATTGAATCAAAGCAATACAATCATAATGTATCTAATATCTAAAACTCGAAAGTAAATAATGATCAAACCAAGTCAAAAAGAAATGGTTAAACAGCTATTTGTACTAATGTCACTTTAAAAATAAATCTGAGCCAAACAGGTGAATGAAACCTGCCCAAACAAATGAAAAAAAAAGACACGATGTGCGGCGCAAACAAACATGTTTTTAGATTTGTCTTAGAGAGACGGGGAAAATGAAGAAAGATAAAAAGAGAGAGAGAGAGAGGGAGACCATCAATCAACTCTCAATAAACCTTATATGAGATTGTCAAAACATTTGTTTTTAAATGCGATCCATTCAATGAACCAAAAAGCCACGTCGATTGATTAAGAGAATTGTTGTCGGTGTAATCTGTTGAATACTAGTTTTGTATATTTTCATCGACAATAATTTTCAATTTCATTGTGATCAAACAAAATACATATTGAATGAATATTTTTGTATGTTCTCCATGTCGTTTACAATCGGGAGTAAAATAGCAATTTAGCTCGGTCGTCAGTCATGGATATATTCTTAAAATGAATTTGTGCAAATGTGAGTGCATGTTTTGAACTTGTTGCAAGTCTCCAATAATCGATACTTTCTCTTATCTATATGGCGAGAACGGCAAAGACATCGACACGTCGACAACAACAACAAGTAAATAAATAAATACGCTCGGCTGTTCTTCGATCCAGAAAGAAGCATGCAAGAATGTATTAAACCGGCTTTGAAAGTAAGACACACAATTTGCCCAAGTTTTTTATTTCATGATTCTGCGCCGTGTATGAATTCGGTCTTGCATGCGAGTAAACCAAATATTAAAAAAAATATGCCAAGCGGCAAATAAGAACATTGCTAGTGAGTTGAGTGTGTATGTTTGACATTTTCTCTTTATTTGCCAGCTCACCTTTTTTTCGTTGATTTTGCTAAAACGGCAGCAGTTGCATGCAACAACAAACAAACAACATTTCTGTTTACAGTTCATTTGTTTGATTCGCTCGAATTTCATTATCTCCTTATCGCAATCACACTTGCAAATGCAATGTCTCATATTTTATCGTTTGTTTATATGACCGGGTTCGTTGGTTGGCTTCAAACATTGATCTCAATTTTCATTTTCGAAAAAGTAACGGTTCTTATGGTTGGTATGAACTTCATACGAATGCATTTGGCGACATTTAAATTTTTTGATACTGAATTTGAGAGGCATATGCCCTTTGTCAATTTTGAAGAATGAAAAAAACGGTGTCGTTTTCAGTGCGTGCAATGGAAGTTAATGTAAGCTTTAGACAGTATGTGCACATACATCTGAAGTGAAATGAAAATCAAGCACGTTTGATGTACACCATTTTATACTGCCACTGTTAGTACTGATCGTATCGCTACTCGCACTGACGAAATTTACTTTTTTACATTCAATTTCTATATTTATCGAACTAGACAAAATTCAAACACCGAATGACTAGATTCCACTTTTAAACGAATTTTTTTTTTTTGAAAGCAACGAGAGGAAGACAGCTTGTACACTTTTGTGAGAAGTGAAAAAAAAATAGTACACTTGTAAAGAAAGATGACAGGATATCAATATTGATAATTTAATTTGAGAAAAAAATGATATAAAAATAAAAAATGAACGCAAGTTTCATTTGGTTAGAAATGATTCAACGAGTGCCAAATAGGCTCTTTCGAAATCGAACCACAACAAATAATAAAAATGTTGAAATTTAATAAAATTAGACATGATGATATTAAATTTGATTCGATTTGACCCCTTAATTCAATTTAAATTGAATTACAAACTTTTGCGTTTGTCATTTGTTTAGCATTAGCTTTGGTGTAGAGAGAGAGAGAGAGAGAGAGAGAGAGAGAGAATGTTATGTGCAAAATCAATCAGGAGTTGTAATTCAATGAGAGTAATATGCTTTCTTACATACTTTATGTGTTCGTGTTCGTCCATTTAATTCTCGCATTGTATTTAATGCTTCAGTAATGTAATTCAATTAGACGAATGACCAAACAAAGCATAAAATGACTGAAGCACCATTTTTTCAATAAAGAACCTTTGTTGTACAAAGGCGAATCAAATGCAATGGAATGTGGATCAGATGTGAACAACAGTTAAAGAAACAGATCTCGAAAATTCAGTGCAACATTCTTGCACTCTCGATCCAAACAATCCAATATTCATATAATAATTCCATAATATCTGAATAAGTAAAGTGTACCGTTAAAAGAGCGAAATTATTCGTTTATGTTTTCCATTCATTGCTGTCGGTAGACACGGTTGAATAAGTGAACACACCATTAAATCAAACATCGATAGCCACCAAAGATTGCTATATGCATGCAAGCAAGTCGAAAAATTTACATTGAAATATCCCGATTCAATCACATTCTGGCAATGCAATACGTTTTATTTAAATTCGTACACCATATACTGTTCCTTTTAGTTGTTCCACGTTCGATCAGCTTGTTTTTGTTGTTGTTTTCTCGTTCAGCAAATGAAATGAATAAATCTAAATTAGAACGCACAAGTTTTGAGTTGAGCGAGAAATCGAGATTCAGGTGAAATCTCTTGCTGTCGCTTTACTTTTGCTATTTCAAGTGAAATAACAGTGCAATTGGTTATAATAAATCAAAGTCTGTGCTGCCACTTGCAACTATGTCTTACATTCATTTCTACGCTACTAATATTTGCACATATTTTCATGAAGACGGAAATTGTATGATCAAAGAAGCGAAATGGCAAAGAACATTCATAGTAAAATTGCTTGTTGGAATATCACATTTATATTCCACATTTTGACAGTGGCACCTTTATCAATAGAAATACATTGTAACTAAACATATTTCTAAAGAAAATCCCTGAATAAATTACTATTACTTCATCAAGTACACTGTACAGTTTGAGACGAAGCAATACAAAATAAGAGAATCGTTTCTTTTATCATTAGTATATAACAACAAAACGTATTGATTTAAACGACAGTGGAAAAAATATTTTTCGGAAACTGTTTTGTGTGTGTGTGTTTTATCTCAGGCACGAAGGTTACTTTGAGAATTTTTTTTTAAATTTACAATATTCTCACGTACAATATGCAGTTGTAGAAAAAATGTTACTCAATCAATTCAAATAAATGCCTAAAAATCGTTAATATGCTTTTTTTTGTTCTTTTTCAGCTATTACAAAATCTTGGTAAAGTCGATAGAACGGCCGATGAAATATTTGATGAACATTTAACGAATTTCAATCGTCAACAAAACAATGCGACTCGCCTCCAAAAGGAATTCAACAACTACATACGTTGCATCCGAGGTAACATATAAATGTTTCTTCTTCTTTTCATTGCATACATTTTTATCGTTTTTCAAATGTTTGATTTCCTTTCAGCTATGCAAACGGCATCAAAGTCATTGATGGAAGCGATTGCCGATGTGTATGAATCACAATGGACGGGCGCCGATGCATTGAATGCTCAAACACAACAAATGGATTCATTGTGGCAAGACTTTTCGCATAAATTGGGCGATCAAGTTCTGATTCCCTTGAACACATACACGGCCCAATTTCCCGAAATGAAAGTAAGTAGTTGAAATGACATGATCGCAGAGCTTTCATACCATTTTTCAAGTGGCTGCACCTGAATACAAGATAAAGCACTTACAAGAAGCAGTATTTACCTCCGTGATGCCTATAACATTGCACGACCATTAAAATGAACATTCGCAACGTAAATCATTCTAATAATTTAAAAAAAAAATGGCAATTTATCATTTCGAATTCTAGAAAAAAATAGAAAAACGTAACAGAAAATTAATTGACTACGATGGACAACGGCACTCATTTCAAAGTCTTCAAGCTAGTTCAGCGAAGCGCAAGGATGATGTGAAGGTGACAAAGGGACGTGAACAATTGGACGAAGCACGACGAACCTATGAAATTTTGAATACGGAATTGCATGACGAGCTACCTGCATTGTATGATTCACGGATTTTATTTTTAGTCACCAATTTGCAAACGCTTTTCGCATCGGAACAAGTTTTCCACAATGAAACGCAAAAAGTATGACCTATTGAAATTCAAATCTTAAGACATGCAAACACATGTAATTATATGGCTCTGTTTATGTTTAGGTTTATGCTGAACTTGAAGCGATTGTTGATAAATTGGCCACAGATTCACAACGCGGATCTTACACTATAAAGAAAATTACAGGTACGATGTGTGTATGTGTATGTGTGTGTTGTTTGCATCACTCTTGACTGCACAATTTCTTCCATTCATCATCACCTATTTGCACTCTAAGTCACTAATTTCTCTTTCTATTCCCTTATATTTCACCTGTTGTACAGCGAGTGGCAATAACAGCCCACCACAATCACCAATCAAATTGAACAGTGCCACGGTTAATAATTCTTATCCAGAAACAAATGCGCTCACAAATGGCGGAGGTTCAAGCAATGGAAACAGTCGTATGTATAAAAATTTGCGTTCGTTTACGTCCGGTGTTATTGATTTTCAAGCTAACTCCTGAATTCTTAGCGGCTTCATTCCAATAAAATCGTTTGCAAACGAAAATAATACATAAGAACACATTGATAACCAAGCTAAATGTGTCTTTAAATAATTTTGGATTCTCTTTGGAATGCTAAATTTCTTTTTTTACCCAATTAATTTCGATCTAAAAAAACATAACCTAATGTGAAACAAATTAACCGATAATAATATTTTCTTACTCAAATTTTGGATATATCTTCGAAAATTTGCGTCTTCAACATTTTTTGGCTCCAAATCAAATTGTCGTCGTCTTCAAACAATTTAAATGAAATGAAGCGCCTTTTTAGCGAGTTGGTTTTTTTTATTTTCTATTTTAATCTAACAGCATGCACGTGTAACATTCCCTGTGTTTTTTTCTCGTTTCTTTTTTCTCTTTTTCATTTTATTCGATCGGAATGTTGTGTGTAATTTACGTGCTGAATTTGCCTAAATTCACGACTTATCCGACAAAAAACAACAACAAACAACTACAATTGTGTACATAAATCGCACGTCATATGCAAATACAAAAACATTTCCAATACCAATTAAAACACATTGCACGCAAAATTTTCCAAATATGTGCAAATATCGAATACCCCAAAATACCCACCATCTCCCTATAAAAATCACCTCGAACGAATCATTTCGAAATTGCACATGAAGCAACATCGTCAGGCAGTTCACCATCTTCACCTAAAGCACAACCGCAATCTTTATCATCGTCAGGTAATGAGTCAGTATTGAATGCTGTCGATGTCGATGCCGATGGAATTGATGACAAATCATTGACAAATGGAAAGACCGATGAGGATGCTATCGAATCATATCAAAATGCGGAAATCATACGAACATCGCATGCCTCAAATTCGGATGCCGAATATGAAAATACCATGAAAATTACATCCGAATCGAATGGTTTGAATGGTAGTAACAGTAGCGTGACAACTACCGATGCTGCCAACACTGCTACTGCTGCTGCTGCTGCCGTCGTCGTCGTTGATGCGACCACAAACAACAACAATGTTGCCAAATGTGAACTAGTTAATGGTAAATCCAATGAAGCTGCCAAATCAGATGATAATTTGAATGCTGCAAGTAAGGACCAGTTGTATGACGTGCCCGTCGGTGAGTTTCACATTTATCCATCTCTGCCTCTCACTTTCTGTCTCTCTCTCTCTCTCATCTCTATTTCTCTACGGAATTCCCCGGAAAATGAAAACAAACATTCAATTAGTAAAATTCAATTCGCAATTATACACGTGACACTGTCACGTTGCTACAAAAACACTTCACATTTAAACACATCGACATCAATTTATATCTCGACCATATATTGTGTTTATATTGTTGTAACGACTATTTGAATTAATTATTTTATTGTTGAGAATTTTTTTTTCATTCGTTAGAGACAGTTTATTACATGACTCTTTAAAGCATTGTTTTCAATATGAACAAGAAGCACGGGTGATTATATGCATGAATGTTTTTTTTCTTTCGATTTGCTTATATTGTGTTTTGTTGGCTTATTTCAAATCATATACACGCACACATAGTACTCGTGAGCTTTTTTCAATAATTTTTCTTGTTCTTTTTTCATGTTTCTTTATTTTTGGCTCATTATCATTTATCCTTCCGTATAAATGCACATATAGAGTATTGTAATCAGAAAAGTGGAACGCAAATACTTCATTTGCTTCCAAAATAGGAGCAAATTAAGTTTTTTTTTTTGTTTACTTATAAATGCTACCATTTTCTAATTTAGTCTTTTAGAATTTACAGAATGAATTTAAACTTAAAAGAGTGGAACAATTTATTTATTTGATTTTATTTAAAACAACAAATTAACGTGCTAAAAAAATAGACAAAAGAACTAATATAAAACAAAAAACAAAAACTCAATTTACAATATCGATACAAACTGTTGAATTTAAATAGTTTGAAATTCGGTTAGCGGTCACAAGATGTATTCTGAAAAAGAACAGAACCATTTTGAGAAAAAATATTGTTCACGATTTGAGTAACGAATGATTGGTGTTATATCGAGGACAACAAATGAATATATTTTTTCTTTGGAACAAAAAGCATTTACAAAATAATAAATCATTTTTAATTTTTCAAATAAATCACTAAATCATTTTATTTGGGTTCAATAAAATTCGTACCAAAGAAAAATTTATTCAATTTTTATAGTTTTTGGAAAAAAAATTGTAAGAAAATGCTATACGAGAAAAATCTTTGTGTATACAAAAAAGTGGCCACACCACCCGGGTGTTGTTAACAGAAAACAAATTCTGCTGTACACTTTCCTACACCTAGATTGTCCATGGTATTTGGAAAGTAGGTTTTCTAATGTTTGTACATCTGCGAGTATTAAGTTTAAAGCGACGGACGAACGTCATGTGTCCGTCTAAGAACTTGTGACCGCTAACTGGTGAACGCTGAATATGCATTTAATTTTGTTCAAACTAAAAGGTATCCAATTGATTTCATTGTTATTTCAAATGCATAGGTGCAACAACAACAGATCTACCGCCTGGTGTGCTGTATCGAGTGAAGGCCACATACAAATATGTTAAAGAGGATGTGGATGAACTCAGTTTTGATGTTGGCGAAACTATACAAGTTATTGAATACGACGATCCTGAAGATCAGGTAAAAAGCGACAGAATTGCCAATTGGTAACCAGACCAAGAATCTAAAATCAATTTTTTTTTTCAATTGGGAATTTTCATTTTGTCCAGGAGGAAGGATGGCTGATGGGCCAGAAAGAGGGAACAACTGAAAAAGGGCTCTTCCCAGCCAATTTTACAAGACCATTATAACAATGACAGAGTAATAAAATTACACTGTTTTTGCACATAACAAACAAATGCGAACACACATCAAATCTGAAAATTGGTTTATTAAAACACAACCAACCGTATCAAAACGAAGATGAATCGATATTCGCATTGGAACAAAAAAAACACCCACACACAAGACATCTGATCCAATTGGCCATTTGAATAAATCAACAACAAAAAATACACAACAATTGTTTTATAACTATTAACAAAGAAAAAAAAAATGAAACAAACTCCACCATAGAGTTAATTCTAAAATTAATTCATCGCATATTCTCTGGTAGATAAGTGTCTAATTCTTTTTTTATTCATTCACAAATGATAATCGATATTTCGAATGCATGTAAAATGTTGACGACCCTTGATCAAGTAATTTAGATATTGTCTATTGTTCGCGAGTTCGAATATCACTCTGCCGATTATTGCAAATGAAACACATCAAGGGACAGATAACATTGTACAAAATTTACAACAAGAATACAAAAATGTCGGAATAATTTGTTGTTTTGTTTTTCGTTTAAACAATAAAACCAAGAAATTTAAACATACTTAAATCGAAACACAGTCCACAAATCGTAACACCTACAAAAAAAAAAAACAATTAAAAAAGAAAAACGAAAAAATCTTGTAAATTGCCAATACATTTGCATATAACACTTATTTCGGAGGAGTTGAAAAACATAACGAAAGATATTAGAACAAATTGTCAATATAATATAAATATAATATGTAAAATTCGTTCGCATGAAGAAAGAAAAAAAAACAAACCCGAACAATATTATCGTTAAATCTACAATTTTTTCGATTTTTCCTCTCGAAATCAACGTACGAACGTACTATGTATTGTATTTTGTACATAAATTTATCTTATATATGAGAAAAATACAAATGAATATTAAAAACAATTTTATTTTTTAATAACGGAAACTAAATCTGTGCGTAACGAAAAATAAAGTAATAAAGATTCAAATGACAAATAAAAAAAAAACAATAAGTCGTAAAAATTGTGTGTGACAAGAGTGAGAAAATTGAAAAAAAAAAATTAGATTCAAAAATTAATAAAAATGAACAAAAAAATATATATGAAAAAACTATGCTGGTTTTAAAATGAAAAATAACCTTATATTGCATTTTTAAGTGCAAATTCACTTTCATACTAATTTATATAATTCGAGAACGCGTGCTGGTATTCAAGAAAAACGAAAACGCAATTCAAAACCGAAAGCGAATAAAAAGGTTTAACTAAAATATGCGATGATTATTATATATTTATTAAAACAAACAAAACGGAAACTAATTTATTTCATTAAAAAAAAAGAAAAGAAATCGTTCATTTATGGATTTGATGACGTTTTGTATGTACTCTCAAATCAATAAAATACCAGACTATATAAAGAAAACACTCTACCAAAATTTTGTATCAAAAACAGTCAGATGCCAACGAGTGCAAAACAATCAATCAAGAGGCCATGTTTTGGCAAAAAAAAAAACGAGATTTTGTGTTTGTGTCAGATTTGAAGCAGTTATGAAACGATTTTCTTTTAAATAATAATCTTCCATTTTTATGCATAAAACGACAAAACAATCTGACCAAAACAAAATCAGATATGTATATGTTAGAGAAAAGAAAATGAGACAAATGATAATTAATTGTTTCTTATTTATTCGATTTCCAACTATTATCTAAATAAAAACAAAAAAATCTATATCAGCTGTATTTCCATGGTTTTTTTCTTGGGTGCAAATGTCCGAATTTTTGCTCAGCTCAGACAATCGTTTTGTTTCTATTTTATGTATGCGGTTTGAGCCGGTCAGAGAAATGCAGCATCTGGTACATAGCCAAATGGTGATAGAACTGATATTGAATTTTTTATTGTTTTGAACGAAAACAAAGGCCCTCTCAGTCATATAAAACAAGGGAACAATCGCAATTTAAAAAAACAGTTCGAAAAGTACTGTGTATTGATTGGAATCGCACAATATTCAAGGTCTTCGATCGTTTGTTATTTGAAATATTCTAGATTCACTATTTTTTGTTTCGTGAACGTTTGTTTTTTAGTTTAATTTTTATCACAAAACATACAATCAACATTTTTCCAAGTAAATATTGTGCAATTTCGTTGATAGCATTTCTACCATTAAACATACTATCTTTTTTCAATTCTATTATTTTCATGTCAATAAAATGTCAATCTATAATATTCTTTCAACAACAACAAAAACAAAACAAAATAATAAACTGTTTAATAAAAGCAAAGCGTTTTTTTTTTGTTTTTATTTTTGATGTTTCATTTTCATTCGTTTTTGACAGAAATATTGCATCCAAATATTAAGAGTAAGTATTAATCGGGTTTTTTTTTGTTGACTCAGAGAATTTTAAATTTTAGCATGGTATAAAAATAGATAACGTTTTGGTTCGATCTAACGAAAAGTTCGGGACAAAGCATCACAGTTTTTTTATTTAATTTAACGAATACCGATGAGAAGATTTGATATGAAGTTGGCTGCATATACAAAAACAGATTTAAGCACTGTCAATTTACAAATAATGGTGTTGTCAAATTGTTTTATTTTGTTAACACATAGGTTAAATTCGGCGATTTTTTTTGAAAATAAATATAACGAATCGCTTTTTGGTTGATTGGCTTAATCAAAAATATGTTGCGATTAAGTAATTCAATTCTTCAGTCAAAAGGTAATAACCGGCTTATTTTAAACTATTCCTTCTATTCATTCATTTCATTCATCGTAGGTTTTACGATCGTAAATAGTCAACTAAGATATTTGTTCTCTTGGGAAGAATTGGGCATCGAAGGATACAAACATGCAAGAACTGATGTTGAGAATCTTGTCGCCAATCATTCTGATTACAAAAAAAATTTCCGAAAACATTTTATTGATAATCAATGCGACATGGTGAAATATGAGAATAAATTAAAAGACTTGATTTATATGATAAATAAAAATTCGGATGACATTCGTATTCTCAAAGGTGCATTGAATACATTAGTACAAAAACGAAAAGGATATATGGGCAAAAAGTATTGTTTCAGTACGGTGATAATGCGAGCATTTCATTATTTAAATATGCCAGTTGAAGCAATTAAAGTAATTTTTAAAAATAGCTTTTGGACTATCAACAAAATTTACATTTTTTTCACTTGCAGTTTTTTGACGATAAAATCATTGGTCAACTATTTACTGACAATATTGGTCATCAAGTTCTGTTGGACATGCTATATGAAAATAAAAAATATGATGACGTACTTCGTGTTTATGAATCTTTAGATAAACGAGGACATTTGAGGGGTAACAATAGACTTGGTTTTTGTTTTTGATTAACTCAGATAAATTCAACAGAAGGAAATGAATGGTAGAATGATATTTTACACTGGTCGAAAACAATTTCAGTGTAAAGAAGAACGATACAATTTTTTTCGGAGCGACTAAATCTATTCGATCCGATTTATTTTACACTGAAACGTTTTTCAACCAGAGTAAAATTGACATGCATGCCATTTGGTTTGCTCTGATTTTTTTTTGTGTAATTTCAATTTATTTTTTTCTCTTGTGGTTTCGCCATAGGTAACAATAGAAGACATCTCGATGTTATAGTATTGGCAACATACTATCGATTGGTACTATAATTGAAAGTCACGGACCTTAGACCGAGATAACTGCATATCGGCTGCGATAATCCAACATCGTTCTCTCAACGATTTATGTATGAAAGTGAAAGAAAAAAGACATCCACAATTCACATTGTAACTCTTCTTTTTGACTCTCAAACAAAATCACTGGTGACGGTCTCTCACTCTGAGAGAACGATGTTGTTGTTGTATATCAACCAAGCATTCTCAAAGTGATACATCGATACAAATTTGATGCTCATCACTAGTGCGTTCGGAGTGCATCATTCGATGATTTGTATTGATGTATCACTTTGTGAATGCTTGATATCAACAGCCAGAGACTACCATCCGATAACATTGCCGCGATGAATAAATCCATAAAAATCGGATAAATTTAAATAAGACTTTGGTACATTTCGATTCTTTGGCTTCAAAGTGAGACAAACAAATTTTAAAATCGAAAATACTAAAAATAGATGTCTACGTTGCAATTCCAATGAAATAATGTTATCGCACGGTATTCTTTGGCAACAGCAGATCAATTTGCTTCTAGGGTTGTTTACTTTCAAATTACCTCCCATGCAATCGTACATTGTCGAAGTTTTTTTTTTGTTATTGAATTTGTAGAATACGCCAGAAGCTCTAAAGCAGGCGTATGCCTTATGGAAAGAGATGCAATCAAATGGAAGTCATCAATATCGCAAAAGTCGAACGTTCGTTGCTGGATTGGCCATAAAACAAAATGAACCTCAACTAGCTTTGGACATTATCGAAGATGAAGAGCAACAATTGTATGTTAATAATCGTCACATTTTGTTATTGGCATGGGCACAATTGCAACGATACACAGATATCATTGAAATGTTAAAATATTTATTTGAAATTCACAAAAATGATGGAAAGAGTTATACAACATCAATACAAGTCGTAAGTTTTTCATTTTATTTATATTTTTTTGGTATTTACAGACGATCAATATTTGCCTTAAATATTTCAATGAGTTTAACATCATGTTTGAGAATAAATGGTTTTTTCTTTGCACAGCTCCAAGTAATAGAAGAATTATTTACTGGGAAGCAAGACGAAGAAATTTCCGACAGAGAAATTGCTGAATTTATTTCGATACGTGAATCAATAGAGTTAGAAAATCTGGTCACAAAAAAGGTATTCATTCTGACATACAAACATTCTAAATGTGTGAAAAATATATATAATTCAATTTTTTTCAGACATTTGATGAACTGATATGTGCACCGTTTTCCACAAAACCATCAAGAAATATTTATTTCAAACTTAAAGGATAGAACAAATCAACCATGTTCGTCTTTTAAACGACACCAACATAAGTTTGGAAACTGTTGATAAGTGTAAATAAATTTATTCTTATAAAATTAAAACTATCATTCTTTTCCGTTTTTTTCCCAACAAATGTTCATCCGGATTTCTAAAAAAAAGGATTTTTTTCTTATCTAAATGGAAACATGCATTATTCATGATTTTAATAATATTGCATACATAATGATAGAGATTTATTTGAGTGCCTTTTTGACTACCATCACTTGCTTTCTATATCACCTGTATATTTTTTTTGAGCTTCACGTTCCGAGCGACATCTCTATGTGCTTGGCATTGAACTCGCGATCCAAACGAGCACCAAAGGCAATTAAAACATTTTTTTTTTTGGTGCGAAAAAGTCAAAAATGTCAACTGATTTTGTGTGAAGAAAAACCATGTGATATGCAACGTCCTCGCAGTTAATTTCGATGACACTAACTGTGCAAAGTAATTTCAATTTATTTTCCATCACAAATTCACTAAATACAAATAATAAATCGGTTTTTGTTCAATTTACACGGTATATCTTTATCGAGCGTAAAATGACAGACGTCACAACAAATGATTCCGTATTCAAACTTCAAACAATTAACATTCTACACAAACTTTTTGTTCTAATTTTCATGAGCACATAGAGATGGCGCCATCATGCAGTTTTTTACATTATTTGCCATTGTAAGTGATGGTAGCTTTTTGAGTTTATTTTGGCTTGGACCGGAGCATATAATTTTCAAAACGAAACAAAGAAAAAACTCAACAAAATATCACTTCAAATATATAAGAATGCTACGATAAGATTAGTGCTTAAAGTTATTATAAAGAATTTGTTATGTTACGAAAAAGAGAACATGACAAATCAAATGAAAAACCGAATTAGCATAATGATACCTTTTTCTCTTGCTGTCTATTGCCCTGTCTCATTCCAATACAAATGGATTGTTGTTAAATGAGCATCGTTGCTTTAGAACTAATGTTATGAGCTTAGAATGGATTCTTACCAATCCGAAGGTCATCGCAAATAACTACGATCTATACGTTTGTTAACTAATTAGAATGTTTTTTATTTTCGTCACGACTTCATCACTCACCTGGGTCAACATTCCACTTATTTATGTGTGCTGATATTGCAATGACATAAGCAAAATTGAAGAGCAAAATGCGCAATTGATTCGGTAAGTAATATTTAACCAAAAATGAGAAAATATGCGCGCAACTGTGGTTGTTGGTAAAAGAAAATAAAAAAACAATAAAAATTGTGTTTTTTGGTGCTTTTTATTCAAAACAAACAATTGAACAATTTTTGAAAATTTTAAAATCTTTTGATGTATTTAAACTATAGAAGTAGTAATGTGATTGTATGGTGCAAAATTTATTCAAAATGTGTATGTGGTGCAATTTGGGCATATGGTGCCGAAAAATGTGCACATCAATAAAGCAAATGTGAATGTAAAAGTTTTAGTTGAAGAATTTCTTGAATTCAGCAAGACCAGCTGTGTTGATGTCGTATCCAGGTGTGGTGGCTTTGCATTTTTCGTACCATGCAACAACGTTGGGATACTTTGATAGGTCAAATCCAGCTACATCAAGAGTGGACACAGTTGCAACCAATGAAATGTCGGCAACGGTCAAATTATCTCCGGCCTAAACAAATGTTCAAACAATCAGTTATTTTAAATTCGATATAATTATTGCGAAGACAATATTAAGAGAAACAACAACAACAAAATCGTACCGCATATGTTTGACCTTCCAAGAAAGTGTTCAAAAAACCAACGGCATCTTCCAATTTTTTGAGGTTTTCTGGATTTGCTGGTGCTTTAGCAAAAATTTGTGGATAGTAATAATCGGCGAGACGTTGATACAATGTACCAAGATCGAAATATAAACGTTGGTTGACCAAAGCGCGAGCTTTTGGATCAGCTGGATACAATGATGCGGTCTTGCCGTATTTTTCAACCAAATATACCATAATCGCACGAGATTCCCAGAGATTTAGGTTCTCTTTGGTATCAACCAATGTTGGTACGGTATGTTGTGGATTAATCTGTGTATAAGAGAGTGCACAAATATAAAATATAAATACAATTCATCATGACTTTACAATAATTGAGTGAAAAACAACACTTCAAATCTTATCTTTAGTAATGATGACGTTTACAAAAAACTAATAGTGTGTCAGAATGCGTTTAAATAGTACGAACCTTGATGAATTCCGGTTTCAAATGTTCACCGGCCATTAAATTGGTGAGTTTTAAGTTCAATTCGACGCCAACTGCCTTTGCGGTCATTTGAACTGCACGGCATGGTGCTGATCCTGGGATGTAATAGAAATCCATTGTGATAGAACTTGTTTTTTTTATCTAAGTACAATGAAAATTAACACAAAACGTTAGCTGTACACTAAAATGATTTTTCTCTTAAATCTCAAATGGAGTAACTGTACAACACGACAATTATTTTTTACTTCAAATATCTACGGAAATTTGTTCAAACAACACTAAATTAGTTCAAATTTGAAGAATTATTACAATTAAAATGATCAAAAAAATATTGAATTTAAGTTGTATTTGCTCTAAAATATGTTTAGAAAGAATTATTACTTTTTGTAAAATGAAGAGAAAAAAACTCAGCGAATTATTTGTTCGTCCGGCTTATTTGAAATGCGAGCGTCCAGTAACTAATGCTCTTTGAGACAAGTGAATGGCTTCATATAGGAATGCTGACACTTTTATGTATTCGTGTAAAGAATGCCGAAATGGATGATCTCAGTTTCGCTTGTTTGGATTTTTGCATGTAAAACAGCGATGACGACGCCTTGCTCTTCTATATACATATACAATATTGTTTGCTGTTGTGTAGGTTGTGCTATCTTATAAATGTGGGTAAACTCGTTTGTACGACACACACTAGTGCATTAATAACTCGATACAGCATATAAATCGCTTAAGAAAGACAAGGAAAGGAAGAAAAAACACGCCACTGCTCGCAATTATTGTGCGTCTTTTTCGTCGAATGCTTGATGATGTCGGCATTTTAATCTCGCAGCGTATTTTCCACATTCAACGAGCTATTGACTATTCGTCATCATCACTGTAAATGTAGAGCGTAGAGTGGGGCCACTTACATTGGTATCGGTTGTGATCAATTTTCACATTGGCATGGTAAATTCGAGAAGTAACGCCGAATGAAATTTAAAAGAAGAAAAAAAACTGGACAATCATTTCGACGTGATTGCATAATACAAACTATCTCATACAATGAGTTAAGAGTTAAATGATTCATGAGGCGATGATTTTGGAGTAGATTCCAAATAGATACAATGGCACTGGGTTTTTATAAATGATTCAGAATGATCACAAAAGCAAGCCATAAAAACGATAACCGACAACAACAATATCCATTCCCTATACCTTCTATTATTCACCGCAAACTCAATTTGAATGTAAATATTAAAATGAGAATTTAAGCAATAAAAAAACAACAACACTAACATAAAACAGATGGTTTTCTCTTATAATTATAGACATCATTTGGGCTGTCGGACAAAAATAGAGTGACGCGCATGAAATAAAACAAAATAAATGCGATATTTCGGTGTTGGCTTAGTCAATGTTGACTTTTTAGTTTCGACGACGTCAGTTGGGCTTTTCGGTTGTTTGTAATCGCCGGGCATTAAACATGCGTTGATTACGACCAATGAACTGAATCAATAAATAATCGATACGATCGATCAATTGTGGGTACGTGTTTGTGGTGGGAAAATTTACGGTGACAAAGCAACACGGAACAAACAACATTGTCATTCGCACAATAATATAAATATTGGTCGTGGAGCCGAGATATGTTGGAGAATATTCCATTTATCGGCGATTGGCATCGGTCAATTAAATGTAAATTAATTCGATTATAATCTAACAATTCAATAAGTTATCGATATACTTTAGTAGGATGTGGAGCTTTTGCCGATGTTTGGCTGTGGCAACATGGAAAAACCAAAGAGAAAATCGGTGCGTGTATTCGTCTATATTCTAGGAATCTATTAGAATGTTTTATTTTTTCGCTTGTAGCAGAGTATAGTGCGTGTAATGTCTAAAAATAATCATCTATACACTGTAGCAATAAAGTGACAAAACTTTACCGTTTGTTTTGTCATTTATCTTCTTTTAACTTCTCAAGTCGGATCATTTGTCCATCCCAGAAAAATTCGTATTTTTTTTTCTTTGTTTAACCAACGGAAGAAAGATAGAAACAAGTAATAAAAGAAGAAAAAATAATTAGACTGCTATGGCTGCTTGTTACCCCCTTTCTTTATTGCTTTCTTTCATGAAAATTAAGTTTTTTACAACATTTTAATAGTGGTTGTTCCTTAAGCGAAAATCCTATGTTTGAATTGAATGTTATTTATGTTGTTTTTGCTTTTTTCTTTTAAAATGAACTAATTTAGTTGTGAGAACAAATAAAGTTTTGGGTGGTCCGAATGCGAGCAAAGACAAAGAACAATGGGAACGAGAAATTGATTTGATGACCAATAAAATTCGACATATAAATATTGTTCGTGGCCTTCGAATCAAGCCGGATACATTTTTAATTGAATTATTAAAATCGCATCCATCGACCGATGGCATTTTGATCACCGAATATTGCGAAGGTGTGGATTTACGAAAGCATTTGAATTACACACAAAATGCATGCGGAATGCCGGAAAGAGAAGTGCGCAACATTCTTCAAACACTCAAAAATGTTGTATCATACTTACACTCGATGTCGGTTATTGTGAGAGACATTAAACCCGACAGCATTATTATTCATGTAACAAATGACGGACGAACCATTTACAAGGTAAAAACAAATACTCAAAGAATGTTTTTATGTTTTCAAAGATGTTTTTATTGATTCGTTATACGTTTCACAGCTAACTGATTTGGGATGTAGTAAGCCGAATGATTTTCGTACCATTGATGCAAATCAAATTGACAAAATGTGCTCATATATTGCACCCGAACTGATAACATCGGACAAGTATAATCGTTCGGTTGATTATTGGTCAATTGGTACCATTTTATACGAAACAATTACGGGTACTAGACCTTTTGTGCAACATCTACCATTGGCAAAATGGATTCTTTGTGTTCGCGAGAAAAAATCAGAACATATCACCATTACTGAGGATGATACCGGTGAATTCATTTACTCCGATCGAATTTCGAACGAAAATCATTTATCGCATGGTTTTGCGAAACTGTTGGTGCCATGGTTTAAATTAGCACTTGAATGGAATGGAAAGCAGAGAGGTAGCATTTTTGAAAAATCTAATTCCGTATCGAATGAGAATGTCAATGTGGCACCGGTACAAACGTTGAAATTTTTTGAAACCGTTGATCATATTTTGGAGCAAAAGATTTTAACCATTTTTGTATTAACAAATCACAAACATCTAAATTTTTTGGTCGACGATAACACCACAAATGCCGATTTTTTATCATTTATTGAACAAGAGACACGTATTCCAATATCAAAATGTTACATTATCACATCAACAGAGAACTGTTTGTCGAAAGATATCGATTCGTATCAATCACACCAACAATTCAATAAGCCAATTGATCTGTACATCGACAATTATTTTGATAAACCAATGGTATTTGTAACGCAATGCGGTGGAGTTGGATCGACAATGGCAGTATCAGAATGTGAATTGAATAAAGATGATGATGTGTCATATGTGATTGATTTACCGGCCAGTGTTCGATGTGTACTCAATAGTCCCGAGAACCGGTTAAAAATTCATTCACTTTGGAAATTTGCTCGCGATACATTATATTTTGTGCGTAAAGAAATCAACACATATAAAACATGTTTGGATGGTTGGCTTTGTTTTGCCCGTCAGCTTGCGAATGAGATTGAAATGTGTCAAAGCAATGTTCGAAAAATGCAGACACTGGTGTACGGCACAAGGGGTTCCCTTGAATTGTTCAAACAAACATTGGACATTTTACATGAAAAACAACATTGTGATGCCAAATGGTTGGAACAGTACACAAAAATCATGCAAAATGTTGAACGACTTGTTACTGCCTGTAATAAGATTGAAATAAGATATGGTTCAGTTCATCGTCGCATTCGCGAAATAAGCCATAATGAGCTTCTGATAAAAATGAACACACACGACGGTTACGGTACTATCAATGTGATCAAGGCATATGACACACTTCGCGCCCAACTCCTAAGCAACAGACTACCGGCCAAACCACATTTTGAGCTATTTAATTGTGCTTTCAAATGTCTTAAGCAACGTGAATCTCTTCTGAGAAATAAAAATTTCATTGAAATTAGAAGGTATGCAAATTTTTTTCTTCAAAAAGTAGACGTGACATTCTTGTAATACCATCTTTTGTTAATTTTTGCGCAGAAATCTGAATTGTGTTCACAACGAGTTTATTGAAATAAAAAAAACGCTGGAAAAGGCGATTATTCCGGCTGAAAAATATCGAATCGAATTAAATGAAGCGAACAAAAGTTTAAATGAGCATGTGTGGTCGCTAGTGGAAAAAAGTCACAGCCACGTATCAACGAGCACATCTGATTTGACATTGTCAAATACAAATAGCACTGCCACACCAGATGCAGATGCAGATGAAAATGCTAAAATCCAAAAAATTATGCGACAAATAACCGAAGAGAATGCAATGAACACGAAATTGCTGATCGAAGATAATATAAATCTTCGTATTGAGTAAGTATTGGTTTTAATCACATATACATTAATCGCTACTTAACTCTAATCTTTATCACAGAATGGCAAACTTAATGCAAGATATGGACGAGGAATTGAAAAGTGAAACATCGCATTATGATCATCGTCATCAATGATCATTATCGATCAATCAAGCACTTTTCTTTTAATAAAAAGTTCTGTTTGAATTATGACGCGTTTGTTTTATTTCCCATCCTTTTCACATAACTATAGTTGAAAACCAAATAGATAAAACAACTTTAAAAAAAATATGTTGTTCCTGGTTGGAATTTGGAATCAATGAAAAGAGTGAAGCATATTGTCAATACAATTATACTTTGCAATCGTTGCTAAAGTATATGGAGGTCAACCGATATTGTAGCAAACTCGCGAAAGAAATGGCGAATGGTAAAAAAACGTTTGTTTTCGTAGCAAGGGGAGTGTCACAAAGAACGTACTAGAATTATATAATTCGGAATAGGTAGTAATAGGTTGAAATCGTTTGGAATAAGCGGCAGCGTAAATGTCAACAAATACGCTGTACTGTTCACAGAAACATAAGGTTTTTAATTCAGTCGTCGGCACCGAAACATTTCAATATTTTTGTGAATATTTTTTTTGTATAATTTAAATAAATACAGTAGATTGCCAAATGTCGACACACGACCAAATGTCGGAATGAATTGAAATTAAAAATTGAAAATTCATTTGAATTGCATTTTTAAAAGTAAATTATGAAAGATCAATATCAAATCTCTTTATTATAATCCAAATTTTAATCAAAAATCTATTATTGCTTTCACAAATTACGTTCAAAAAAAATTCGGCATTTTTATCACTTTTTCACGTCAAAAGTTAAACTATGTCATTTTGAGACAAGCCGGTAAAATGCGTTTTTTTAAATGAAAAAATAACTAGTTTGGAAAAAAATTTATATCGGCGAATTGTAGATAGTTTAATTTAATTATTGAACAGAAATTTTGAAAATATAAAGAAAAACAATTATATTTATTTTTCATTTTTCACTGTAATATTATTCCGGAATAAATCGTCCAATTGCCGACACATAAAGCACCGAAGTTTCAAGTGAAACACTTTGGATTTGACAGATGTGACAGTTAAAGTCGTATTTGGATCATTGTGAAATTCAAACCAAAAATATTCTAGATCAGTGAAATAACGTAATATTTTTAAATATTTTTGCCACTTTACTATAGAAAAATCAGTAAAATAAAATATGGAGCAAAAATATATCAATCTAATAATTTTTACTTCAATATTTTGTATTGTTTACCTCAATGTAAATAGTGCGTTCATGGGCTGTCAAAACTTAAAGTTTACAAGTTTCGTAGTGAAAATGCATGAAATATGTCGAGATTAGGGAGCCGAGAATTGGACGACGAATATCCGACATTTGGAATTTTCGATGTTATGACGAAAAAAAGGAAAAAAATAATACATTTTTGGAAATTACTATCTTTTGAGAAACGTGAAATGAAGCACAATTAAATTCTGCATCGAATTGTGTATAAAGTGATATTTTTTCATGAAATAAAAAATGTTAAATATTAAATTGAAGTTGAAAATTCAAACAAATAGTCCGACATTTGGGCGAGTGTCCATATATTGAACATTTACAACAAAAAGTATATTCACAAAAATATTGAAATGTTTCTGACTGAATTGAAAACTCAATGTTTCTGAATACCATATCGGCGTATTTGTTGACATTTACATTACCACTAATTCCAAACTATTCTAACCTATTTCGAATGATATTCCTAACCTATTTCGAATGATTTGTGACATTCCCCTTGGTTCATTGGCGATTGTTTTCTACCAGGAAATTCGATAGCAAAAGGATACCGCGAACAAATTAAAACAAATGCGCAAATGTACAGTGCACATTGTAGATGAATTTCGAACAACGAACTTATGTTCACGGTGCTTTTTTTTGCTTTTCAGTTTTGGCTTGTACGAAAATTCTTTCAATTTGCTAGGGATTTTCGCCAAAAAAGTGAAGAGCAAAAAAAAAAAACGAAAAAAGTACACTTTTCGCAAAATACACCTCACTTTTTTGCTTACCCCTCTCGAACACCCTAAGTACAATGACTACAATCAGTGATGGTTTTTTCCTATCTGAATGGCGCTAGCTATTCGCAGCGTCTGAACAGCATTGCTGCCCAGATGCTGAATCGAAGCGGTTGCCGCACGCATTTTGTACCACACAACATATTGTCATATAGTCTAAGTAACCAGTGAGCTAACAGAGTATGATACACTAATACGCATATCAATATAGTTTCCATTGGTATATAGTTTTTGCCGCCCTGAATGACCCAATTCGAAGGGCGGGGGTCAGAATAATATAAAAATGAACCCTTGCCCTCCGAATTGGGTCACTCAGGATGGCCAAATCGACTTTTTATCATTTTACCCTAATGGGGGGCTCTGAATTGTTGGGAGAGGTGGGGTGAATGGGCACGAGGCGAAAACTACAATATAAAGCCAGCTCAAACAAATCAAAAAAATTAACGGCTCGGGTTTGTGAAAATAGCTTGTTAGTTTGAATGTTATGTGATTGTAATTTTCTTATCATATTTTACAGAATGAGTCTATCCAACGTCAAGTTCTTTGGAGCGGGAGCTTTGGCTCGTGATCTGCAACTGCTACTTTGTAAGAATCATATGTCATTATTAAATTAGTTTGAAATAGTTTATTCATACACCGGATCGATTAATACTCAAATGTAGGTCAGAGAACCATCTTTTGCTTCGGGAAGTCGGAATATTAATCGATGTGATGTTTTGCCACCAATTACCAAAGAATTTGATCTACAGTACATTGCCAAATGTCGACACACGACCAAATGTCGGAATACCGAGAGGTGAATTGAAATTAAAAATTGAAAATTCATTTTAATTGCATTTTTAAAAGTAAATTATGAAAGATCAATATCAAATCTCTTTATTACGTATGGACACTCGCCCAAATGTCGGACTATTTGTTTGAATTTTCAACTTCAATTTAATATTTAACATTTTTGATTTCATGAAAAAATATCACTTTATACACAATTCGATGCAGAATTTAATTGTGCTTCATTTCACGTTTCTCAAAAGATAGTAATTTCCAAAAATGTATTATTTTTTTCCATTTTTTCGTCATAACATCGAAAATTCCAAATGTCGGATATTCTTCGTCCAATTCTCGGATCCCTAATCTCGACATATTTCATGCATTTTCACTACGAAACTTGTAAACTTTAAGTTTTGACAGCCCATGAACGCACTATTTACATTGAGGTAAACAATACAAAATATTGGAGTTAAAATTATTAGATTGATATATTTTTGCTCCATATTTTATTTTACTGATTTTTCTATAGTAAAGTGGCAAAAATATTTAAAAATATTACGTTATTTCACTGATCTAGAATATTTTTGGTTTGAATTTCACAATGATCCAAATACGACTTTAACTGTCACATCTGTCAAATCCAAAGTGTTTCACTTGAAACTTCGGTGCTTTATGTGTCGGCAATTGGACGATTTATTCCGGAATAATATTACAGTGAAAAATGAAAAATAAATATAATTGTTTTTCTTTATATTTTCAAAATTTCTGTTCAATAATTAAATTAAACTATCTACAATTCGCCGATATAAATTTTTTTCCAAACTAGTTATTTTTTCATATAAAAAAACGCATTTTACCGGCTTGTCTCAAAATGACATAGTTTAATTTTGACGTGAAAAAGTGATAAAAATGCCGAATTTTTTTTGAACGTAATTTGTGAAAGCAATAATAGATTTTTGATTAAAATTTGGATTATAATAAAGAGATTTGATATTGATCTTTCATAATTTACTTTTAAAAATGCAATTCAAATGAATTTTCAATTTTTAATTTCAATTCACCTCTCGGTATTCCGACATTTGGTCGTGTGTCGACATTTGGCAATCTACTGTATAATCCAAATTTTAATCAAAAATCTATTATTGCTTTCACAAATTACGTTCAAAAAAAATCGGCATTTTTATCACTTTTTCACGTAAAAAGTTAGACTATGTCATTTTGAGACAAGCCGGTAAAATGCATTTTTTTTATATGAAAAAATAACTAATTTGAAAAAAAATATGTCTGCGAATTGTGGATAGTTTAATTTAGTTATTGAACAGAAATATTGAAAATATAAAGAAAAACAATTATATTTATTTTTCATTTTTCACTGTAATATTATTCCGGAATAGATCGTCCAATTGCCGACACATAAAGCACCGAAGTTTCGAAGTGAAATACTTTGGATTTGACAGATGTGACAGTTATAAAGTCGTGTTTGGATCATTGTGAAATTCAAACCAAAAATATTATAGATCAGTGAAATAACGTAATATTTTTAAATATTTTTGCCATTTTATTATGAAAAAATAAATAAAATTAAATATGCAGCAAATATATATATATCAATCTAAAGAAGAAAGAATGCGTTCATGAGCTGTCAAAACTTAAAGTTGTTCAAGTTTCGCAGTGAAAATTCATGAAATATGTCGAGATTTAGGAGCCGAAAAGTGTTGAAATATTAAATTGAAATTGAAAATTCAAACAAATAGTTCGACATTTGGGCGAGTGTCCATACTTTAATATGAGAAATACCATTTTTTTATTTGCAGATATGGGAAACACCCTAAGTACAATGACTACAATACTGAATAATGTCTGCTCGATTTTTTTAATTTCGGATTTGCGCGGATATGTGTGAATATTCCAGTTTAAATCCACACAGCTCCGCAACATGGTTAAGTGTTAATAAATATCGATCAAAATTATTTCGAGTTTGATTGATAAACCATTTTGTAAGATTTTTTTTTAAATTACTTTATTTAATCGGAATGAATAACTGTCTATCCAAATCAGACAGCGCCTGCACTTTCAGAGACAAACATATTAAAACAATCATAAATTTTACTTTCATTGTTACAAATGAGGTATGTTTCGAATAATATTATTTTATTCAAATGTTTAATGAAATTAAAAAAAACACTGTATAATTAGTTGGTTAGAAGAATTCAGAAATTATTAAAATAATCGTTCCATTCGCAATGGAATAAATGAGAGTACTGATTTTTCTGACTTTACTCGACACCTTATTTATTGCAAAACTTTGCTGCAATTTTTATTATGATGAACGTGTATTGGTTGCATAATCAAGTGAGAAGATTTTATCACTAAAAGAACGAATATGAATATGTGTGAAAACAAAATATTTTTAGCAACATTTCGAAAAAAAAAATCCCCAAAAAAGGAACAATTCGGAAGCGAAAAACTCAAATAACAACGTTATCGTGCTCCGTGGAAAAAATACTTTATCAATCAGTCGCAACAGTGTTTTTTGCTGCTCAAACTCAAAAACACCACTATCATAAAGCATGACATCGTATGATATTGAAGAAGAACTCTGTCGCAAATGATTGAGTTAATGTAACTGCACATTTTTATCGTTTGTTAATTCATGACTCATCTGTTTTATGCACGTCTAAGATCATCAGCTCGTTCCTGATTTCACTTTTTGTAAACTAAAATTTAGTTTAAAATTCAGTTAAGTTGTTTTTTTTTCTTCCAACCAAAGTAACATTGATTAAAATAAAAATAAAAATTGTTTGAATAAGAATTAATTTTATGAAAATACATGAAATGCATAAAAAATATTTCGTCTTACTATTCCCATTTTCAACAAATTTCATATTGGGAGCAAATGTCCGGTTTTTTTTTGTTTGAAAAAAAAAACGCGTATTTTAAAAATTGGTAATGGAAACCCATTGGTAATGTCTTATTTAAAAAAAAAAATAATTTTCGTTTCTATCGAAAAAAAGAACCTTTTTTAAAAGGTAAATAAAAGGTAGATTTAAAAAAATCGCAAAGAATTAATAATAATAATAAAGAAATGGTATGTTTCTTATGTTTGATTTTTTTGTGTCTGGTTTGTTGCGATGAGTTCTATTAATAGAACTTTACATATTTATTCTTCTTATTCTGATGAATATCTGATTTTCAAATGTGCACTGGAGGCTTGTTGAACATGTTCGGGCACATTGAAAGTGGTTGTCTTCTTGGAACTGGTATTAATATCAATCGTGAGTTTGTTTTCATTGCGACGACTTTGAACCGCTTTCAATATGTTTTCAAATGCCTTTTTGTCGATTTTCAAATTCTGGACGCGAACCAATGCCAAGTATTTAAGTTGCTTCCCATCTTTCACCATTTTTACAAGACCGTTGACTGTGATGGGTGTCTTTACCTATCAGAAGAAAAGAATGAAAAAAATTGAAATTAATCAATAAGTAATGGAACAGAATGGATAAAGAATCGGAGGGTCTCTTTACTTTCTCTCCAAAGTCCAGTTGTAAATGTACCAACAATGGCAATTGAGTGGCCAACGGTACCAAATCAGCATCGGTAACGGCTTTTTCGATGTTATTTAGCAATAAAACTTTCATTGTCTTCAATTTAAGAATGCTTTTGATGTCATTGGGCCCAATCGAAAACTCAGACAAATCCAAATAGTTGATAGGCACCTTTTCCTTCGCAAATGCATCCATGAGTGGGCCAACTAATTTTCCTTTTGAAAATAATACTTGCTTTTATATCATAAACCATAAATAATAATAAATAAACAATTTTACCATAAATTTCGTCGCCGGCCTCAATGCATAATCGTTGCAACTTTTTCAAATTGCTCAACTTTAAAAATCCTTTTCGCGTCTGTTCCTCTGGAAAACTATCGCCCGAATGCATTGCAAAACTTTCCAAGTTTTTCGAGTATTCGGCAATGGCCTGGATAAACATGTCTTCTGATTTGGCCGCGATATCAATTTCTTTCACATGTGGATTAAGAGCCAATAAATCAAAAAATGTCGCAAATCCAACGTAATTACAATCGAAACCAAGACACTTCAATTTCGGAAATTTTCGTACAACGAAACCAATTGATCGATCATAATTGAAATTCAATGGATCGGGGCCGAAAAAATCAGCATGAAAACTGAAAATTTCAAGATTTGGACAATTTTTGAACAAATCAATTTTGTTGCCAGTGAATTCGCACTTGAACAATTCAATACGTTTCAAGCGTGAGAATAACGGCTTGAATGCATCACAATCGATGGTGGCCCTTTGTAAAATTACCGATTCCAAATTGTTGTTGCAATATTTTACGATTGCACTTGCATCAAGTAATTCATTATAATCGGCCATGTATGCTTGGGATGCATCGATCGATGTAATCAGATGACCGAATTTGCAGAGCACACGACGAAATTCGGAATTTTTGCATGCACGTCCTTTGAACACGAATTCTCGATGGCGTCTACTGAATGCTTCCTGAGTAATCGGTTGGAATCGTTTGCAAACATTTGCCATTTGACACAAACTTTCGATGTCCAAATGGTCAAATAACTTTTGCAGAGATTCATCGTTCAAACGTAGCAATGAATTTGACGATATTTCGGGTGCATTGGTTTTCGGTTCAGATGTCGATGTTCCAGCTTTAGTTGCGCTTCGTCCGCGACGTGGACGCTTGTTTTCCAGCCCACTTGAGTCTGCCATTTCAATTTTTGTTCGTGATACGGTACTTTTTTTAGAAGAAACTTAGGTTGCCACAGCTGAAAAATGACGTAATCATTAAAAATTAAATGGATTTCCATTAATACACACAAAAATTACTATTACCACTTGTGATACTGATATTCACTTTTCCCTCGATTTGTTTAATATCTCTTGTCAAAATCTAAAAATAATTGAAAAATATCACAATATTTTCACTGGAATTGTTTATAAAAAAAATCAAATCACTGTCGTTTGTGTCTTTGAATAAATTAATCACGCTTAATTTATGCACACAATTTTTAATTTTACCTGAACGCAGCTATGACGTCGTATTTATGCTTTCTTCTTTGATGCGGCGTAAATAATCGAAGACGACTATGTTTTTTCAAACAGTCTTTTGCGTCTTGATAAATTCCAAAACAATCAACAAGTTTGAATTTTGACAGTAGCTAATGTATGCATGAATGTTCAAAATATAGTTCCGTACATTTTCACTGGATGGCTGTAGTTACCAAATAAATTCAAATTTGCTTTACAGCATGTGTGTACTTTTATGATGAGTTCTTGATTTAATTTTAGCGATGATTGTAATGAAATTCTTTGAATGTGCGAATTGGCTGAAAAAATTAACAATAGCGCATTGAGTTTCGAGTTGACTAAATGAAAGTGCGCATTTGTGTGACATTTTGTTTTGTTTCAGTGGTGAACTTTGGGGTTTCGCGGGTTAAATTCAAAATTCATGTCCATCAATGTTTTGATTGCATATAGCAAAGGATGAATCAACATTTTCTTTTTCTAATATCATATCATCAATTGAACGCTAACAGAAATAACGATTCCATTTGATGAGTAAGATCCATGCTAAATCAGTCGCAAATGTCGTAAATGTTAACGACCAAGATTTAAAAAATAAAATAAAATAAAATGAAATTTTGTGTGATCAATTCGTTTATTTTTAAGAAAATCGATATGCTATGTACGCATTATTTTATCAATATTCTCTTTTAATTCCGCATTATTACATTTTTTAACAATTCAAGTTAAAATAAGTAAGATAATTGAAATAAATCACTGAGTTTTGTGCAGATGTTCACTTCAGCGGCTCAATGTGCAAAAGTGTTTAACATTATTCGAATGATTTTATCTTCTAAATCATCATATTTCTTCTGAGCGCCCAAATAGTTGTTGCTAACTATGACAAAGCTATATAAACATACTTATCGTAAACATATCCAATTATCGATGAAATGCCAGGTTCAATTTTACCAGTTTTTGCATAAATCCTCAAGTGATATTTTCGTTTGGTCGCGCCATCATCGGTATGATACAGCATCAGAGCATATACTGAGCATAGATATATATCCGGGATATTTTGTGAGTATCCGATATTTATCGCAGCCAGACATTATAATGGAGTGAAAACAATAGAAGTGATTGTTATAGGTCTAAGTATAAAACCATTTACATTACTACAATCACTATAACAATAACTTCTATTGTTTTTACTCTGTTTCAAAGTCTGGCTCCAATGAATATCGGATACTGACAAAATATCCAGGATATATATCTATGCTTAGTATATGCTCTGTACAGCATTCAATATCTGATCGAATTGTGCTGGAAGAAGGAAAGGTAACAATCCGGCACCTGCACCAAATGCAGAATCTGTTAAATTAATACCAAATCTATCGTAAATACACTCCTTGATCAACAGCGCTGAATCGTACCACGTTTTTTTATTCTTCGAATTACCATATCAGCGGTCAAATAATTGAAAACAAAATTATTGGATATTTTCAACGTTTTCGATGTAATATTGTAAAACGATTTTTGAATTAATACAACCGTAATGGCATTACTCGGTTTGGGACCGTATATGATGGATCCATACATATTGAAGCCGAACTTTGCCATTCGTTGTAATAAAGTCGATTTTATGTTATTCAAATGATTTTCTGGCACTACTTCCTGATATTCGGTCGAATTGCTAGTTATATTTCCACTTATGTATAAGAAATTATCAATAACATTTACAGCTGAGTTCTCTTTTTCATTGGTGTATTGAAGGTCTTCCACAATGTTATAAGGAATTGATTCCGAATTCATCACACGCGAACCATCCACTGTTTCATTTCTATTCATTTGCAATCTGACACAATTTTTATTAATATGCGCCTTGGTGACTTGTGCGCCGCCACAGTAACGCGTAAACATAACCGTTTCAATATCTGGATTCGGTGGAAGCGAAAATGACGAATTTTCGTATTATTTCCGATGACAGTCAAAGCATTATCGAGATCTTCGGTTGAAAATTCAGGATGATTGATTTCCAAGACGTAATCATCATCTATTCTCGAAATTTTAATAATGTGATTCGTGCCGTAAAATTTTCAAAATGCATGCATGTATGTAATAACATTGCAATGTTATGAACTTCATGGAACTTGCAAATTGATCGTAAATCGTAAATCTCGTTCTGTTCGTAAATGATTTTGCCACTTGTTAAGTTAAGAAGTATCATCCCGATATTAATGTATGGATCGGTTTGATTAATCGATTCTTTGATCTCGTTGTCATAACTGGCCTCCTGGCTGGTATTTCGTAAAAAATAATCATTTTGCTAGGGTTTTTGTCGAGCGGTTTTTTTTCTTCATTTTTTCTATTGTTTTTTCGGCTGTGAACACATCATAGATGAATGATAGACGAATGACCACTTTACTGCACTACATACGACAAAGCATGTTCACATGCTCTGTTGAGATTTAAAAAGAAAAAAACATTACGCATGCGCACTGCAAACTCTTAGTAAAAGTTATAAATAAATAGTTCATTGATGATTACTGCGAAATTTCTTCCACAATAATGACGAGCATCAGTTCCATCATATTCCTAGTCTTTCCCCAAATGCGCGTAATTCCCTGAATTTTTGTTTTGTTTTCAAAATAAAGAAATTAAAATTGTTCACAAATCGAACGACTAAATCGAAATGTTATTTGAATTAATTCTTCTGATCGATGACATGTGCATACGGTGCCAATTCTTTCCAAGCAAAATTAAAAATAGTCTCACGCAGCTATCACAAATAAATTATTATCTTACATGTTACTTGAAAAGCAAAATTTACTTTGATTCGGTATTCATTGAAGCTAAATATTTCATCGATGGGATAAAGTGAAAGAGAACGACTGACAATTGGTTTAGCATGATGGTTTTTAATTGACCTTCCACTTGAAGATCACAACATTTCGATTATTCAAATAACCAATTGATTTCAACATCTCATATGCATACACTCGGACCGAGTGTGCAAAATTATCAAAACAGATTACTTATGCCGAAACTACTATCGGTTCGCATGGTGTAGTGGCTATCACATCTGTCTAACACACAGAAGGTCCCAGGTTCGAAACCTGGTGCGAACATGATGTTCTTCTGTTTTTTGCTTTTTAAAATTAATTTTTTTTTATTATACATAACCAAAAAAGATTCGATTTTCCGTATAATCGACACCTTTTAATAATTAAACAAATCGACACTTTCAATTGCTACGGTTAGTTCGATTTTAAGGAGCAAATTTTGTGATATCGATGAAATGGACTAGCGAACGCTGTTGTTTGCTCAACTACCATCGGTTCGCATGGTGTAGTGGCTATCACATCTGTCTAACACACAGAAGGTCCCAGGTTCGAAACCTGGTGCGAACATGTTGTTTTTTTTTTTTTCATTTTTTAACTTAAGAAAAGATCTAAAAACATGTCCACCATTTTTCGGTTGATTTTTGTCTTTTTATTATTATAAATAATTACTATTATTTATCAAAAATATTTGCTATCCACTTGAAAGAAACTCACAATTTCAAAGAAGAGATGTTATTCACAATTATTAAGGAAAGCAAAGTTTCACGAAACTCAAAACAAGATTCGAAAAAAAAAATCAAAATAAATTGAAAAATAGAGATTTTGAGCCGAAATTGTTACAATTTGTTCGATTGAAACGGGCAATTTTTGTGTCACATAAAACTATGCAAATGTATGGTAAAAGCGGAAGTTCCCAGTACAAAACCACACTTTTTATGCAATAATTCAAATGAAAATGGTTATTCAAAGTTGCTGTACTCACTAAACCAATGATTTATTTTTATTTAGTGTTTTGTTACGTATAACATTCATTCCGGTTTTCTTGTATTCAACGCTAAACAAAATCCTCAAATAAGGAAACAGTTATGAAATTACTGCGATCAATCACAACACTTTTGAATTAGCAAAATAAAATATATATAGTTTACACATTCAAAAAATGCATGATTAACTTTTGACGCATAGATGTCGTTATTGAATCGGCGTGCCATCAATTATACTCTATATACAGTCAAAAAAGTTTCTGTTTGTGTATGTATTAAAAGTTGATTCGTTGACAAATGTTGAGTTTGACAGTTGTGCGAACATGTGCGTTTCAAAATAGTATGAAAATTGATTCAATTGATTGAAAAAGTCAACAAAAAGAACTTTTGGACTAAAAGTCAATAAGACAGTGCATCAAGTGTTGCGGATAAAAATGAGCGCAGAAAATGTTTACACGTCAATTGCTTGTAATCGAACTCCCCAATCAGCTGACTGGGGTGAAAATGGTCAAGTAATTTTTGCCGCTTGTAATTCCGTTGCTGTGTTCGAGCCCAATTCCAATGGTTCCGTGAAAATACAGAAAACATTTGTTGAGCATACGGCCAAAGTGAATACGGTCAAATGGATCTCGAATCATGAATTTCTGTCGGGCGCCTATGACAAATTTTGTATTTTATGGAATATTAAGGATCAAAATGCGCCAAAAATTTGGAAATTGATCGGTCATGAAGATGGCGTAACATTCGTGGATGCAATTCGTGTCAACGATCAATGGTTGATTGCAACCACCTCACTCGATTCAACCATAAAGTTCTGGTCATTTTCCATTGAAAATGATGCATACGAAGTTTTCTACACAATAAAATTGGGCAGCGGTTTTTGTTTTGCATTAAAATTTGCCATTTTACCAAATTCAAAAGATAAAGTTTTGTTGGCATATTCAACGGATAATCATAACATTCATTTGACATGCGAACAAATTGTCGATGGTAAACGGGAATTTGTTAAGGTTGATACATTAGTCGGACATGAGAATTGGGTGCGTGGCTTAGATATTGTCAAATTGAATAATACGGAATTATTGTTGGCATCATCGTCACAAGACACATTCATTCGGCTGTGGCGCATTTCTGCTCGTCAAACCATCGAACCAATTCAAATCAGAAAAAAAGCAAACATTTTTGCAACAAACGAAGACATTCAAATCGAAGAGAAAATCTTTACGGTAAAAACAAGCGGTGGTAAATCATTGAGCTATGCCGTAACATTGGAATCGGTATTGCTGGGTCATGATAATTGGGTTTATAGTGTACATTGGTCAAAAACATTCGATAATCGTTTACAATTACTGTCCAGTTCAATTGATAAAACATTGATCATATGGGCGATGCAAGAGGACGGTGTATGGATGGAAAAAGTACGAGTTGGTGAAGTTGGTGGTAATACACTTGGATTTTATGGTGGGAAATTTTCACCGGATGCAAAGTCAATTATTGGCCATGGATATCAGGGTAGCTTTCATATTTGGCATCAAAGCGAAAATGAGAATATTTGGATACCGGGCATTAATGTTGGCGGACACTTTTCCGAAGTGCGTGATTTATGCTGGAATCCAACGGGTGAATTTCTTCTAACCGTGTCCGCTGATCAAACGACCAGATGCCATGCACCATGGAAACGAGCAGACACCACTGACAATTTGACGGTAAAATGAATTTTCCGGTTTTTGTTGAGTGATTGACTTATTTTGTTTCTTTCATTATTCGCTTTTTAGACATGGCACGAAATCGCACGGCCCCAAGTGCACGGATATGATATGCAGGCAATTTGTTTATTGGAACGTTTTAAATTTGCCAGCGGCGCTGAAGAGAAAATCGTTCGAACCTTTCAAGCACCCGTCAACTTCATTGAGAATTTAAAGAGACTATGTAACATTGAAAGTTCCGAACTAGATGAAATTATTGAATGTAAGCTTGACGATTCTTTTGAAGACGATTTTATTTGACAAGTTATCATTGTTTTTTATTCATGAAATCTTCCTTTTATTTCAGCAACGCCAAAAGGAGCATCGGTACCATCTTTAGGTCTATCAAACAAAGCGGTTTTCGACGAATCAATACCAGTCGCTGCTGACGAACGTCATATCAAAGATCAGTATCCAGATAATTATTTTGTTCCGATTTCGATGACCTGTGAGTTTTTATTAAAAAAAAAAAAAAGATGTCAGTTTTAATTCCAACGAAGACTTAAATCTATTTATCTTTTATTGCAGCTCCACCAACCGAAGAGACTCTAATGCAAAACACTCTATGGCCCGAAGTGCAAAAATTGTACGGACATGGTTATGAGATCTTTGCATTGAGTGCAACAAGTGATGGTAAAATATTGGCATCGAGTTGTCGTGCAACAAATGACGAACACGCACAAATCATTTTATGGGATACATCGACATGGAAACAAATTCAGAAATTGCCATCACATCAATTGACTGTGACACAATTGAAATTTGCTCCAAACAATAAATGGTTGTTGTCCGTGAGTCGGGATCGTCGATGGACTCTATTTGAAAATGATACGGCGACTGATGCCCTTTGTAATTTTAAATTAATCGCAACGACGGATAAAAAGAATGGTATTCATAGTCGTATCATTTGGACATGTGACTGGACACATGATAGTAAACATTTTGCGACTGGTTCGCGAGACGGAAAAGTGGTGGCCTGGCAACAAAATGACAATGATTCTGGATGTAGTTTGAAAAATTATGGTGCATTGTCTACATTGGAATTGGCAAAAAATGAGTCAGTCACAGCAATTGCTTTTGCATCATGCTTTGCACCGAACAACTGTGATTATGTGGCAGCCATTGGATTGGAAAGTGGTTCCATTCATATTTGCACGCTGAACACAAGTTGGACAATCCTATTTACAATTGATCAAGTGTAAGTTTTGATCGAGACACTTTTTTTTTATTCACACTTTAGTCTGTGTTGACACTCTTTGCCTATTGGCACTTGTTGAATCGACTTTATTTTGTTCGTTTTTTATCCTCCACAGTAATGCACATCATTTGACCGTGAAACGATTACAATTTCGACCATCGGCCAATAATCCTTATCAATTGGCTAGCTGTGGCTCCGACCATCTCACCCGGATCTATCAAATTAAGTTGAATTGTTAAATTTAATAATTGTGTCAAACACATCCAGTTTTTTATGGACATAACTTAAATTATATAAATAAAGAAAAAATACAATTAGAAAATGATTTTGTTTTTACTTTATTTTTAAATTCATTTATTCGATTCCATTTTATTTTCACATTTACAAATTGTTCAGCCTTCAATCAATGTGTGTACATAGCTGGGCAGACTGAAAAATTCAGGGGGGGATTGGGGGGGTAATTTTCTCAAAAACTCCTAGCAAAATAGGAAAATTTCATCTATGATCCAAAAACCCTAGCAAAATGAGAAAAATTCTATCCAAAATCATGAATTTTGTAAAGGGGTAACGCAAAAATTTGTTGATTTTGTAAAGGGGTAACGCTAAAATTTGATGCCTCAGGAGGGGGTAATCCCCCCCTCCCCCCTGTCTGCCCAGCTATGTGTGTGTATCTGTTTCTCATTCTCTCTCTCTCTCTCTCTCTCTCTCTCTCAATATTAATCATCATTGTTTTGCGTAGATTTGCTATTTTCTTAATCATTTTCATTCATTTGTTTTGTTTGTTTATTTTTTCAGTCATTTCAATTGAAATAAATGTTTGCTCAAAAAATATACAAATTATTAAATTACACGTTCCTTTTTGTTTTCTTTGTTTGTTGTAATAGTTTTAGTTATTGTATGTTAAAAAAAAATGATAATGAATTTAAACATTGAATCATTTTCAACCCATCAATAAAATAGTCTAAAAAGTTGTTGTTCTCTTGAGTTTCTGGAAAATTGATCGCAATGTAGTTATGACGTGATCAACGAAAAATGTGATGAACAAAAAATGGCTACAAAAAACGATCGTTCAACAAAAAGTGTCGTTGACTTTTTTTCAAAGAGACTTTGTATTAAAAAAAAAAAAACAATTTCAAAATATTATTTTTGTACATATTTGGCAGTTGTTCGGAATTTTTTTTATCTTTCTCTTTGCTTCCAATTTTTTATTCGATTTTTTGCCAGTTTGCAACTTAGGACCGAAGTGACATTAACCAACAAAAAACATCAAAATAAACAAAATACACGCATTTTGAATGAGCTGATAAAATCAAAACTGAAAAATGAGGAAAGAAAATAAGAAAATTCAGCCATTTGTGTAAAGAACTAGTGTTTTTTTTTTCATTTTTCTTTTAAAATAAATAGTTCGTTACATTACATATTTCGCTTTTTTTATTAATTTCAGTACAAAAATATAAAATATCTCGTTTTTTTTGTTTGTTTCATCTCCACCACATGTCTTTCCTCTTCATTTATCGTCAGCATTAGCTAAGGTTTTCATTTATTTATTGTGTTATTTTTTTCTTCACTCCTTTTATACCTCTCAAATCAGAAATCTTTCAGATTGAAATCGGAAATCTTCTTAAACATTTCTTTGCAAATAAAAAGAATCTCTATTTTCAATGAACAGAAATGAAGCATTTCCATTTAAAAAAAAAATTAAAATCAGAAGTCTTATTGTGAATTTTGCAATCGATATCGATTCTCTCCTTTGATGAAAATTTAATGAAAAAAAGAAGATAAATTTATTTCTAGTTTTAACAATGCCAGCCCGAAGGAAAAAAAATCTGTTTTAATTCATTTTTTTGTCCCGTCTAAACACATTCCTTTCATTGTCTTCAACACTTTACATAACTCAATAATGATAAAAAGTCTTTTTTATGAGCATATAATTATGTATAATAAAAAACAACAATATTTTCAGTTCGGTTTTTTTATGTTTTGTTCAATCAATTCATTTGGATATTAGTTTCATTTTCCATTTTAAATACCGAAAAATGTCAATTTTGGAATTTGAATGAAGCAAATTCACAAGTGATGTATTTTTTTGGTCACTAAATTTAACATTTTGACCATTTTCTGCGTTTCGCTTCCTATAAAATGAAATATTATAAATTTTACATTGTAGTTGCTTCAATCAAAAAATAATATTTCGATTTAAAATTCATGCCCATTAGATTAAACGGTTTGGGTAGGAAATTCGATCCAGAAAATTGATTAGACGTAAAGATTGATCTTCAAGAAGTATTTAAAGCCAATTTTTATTAGTAAAAAAGATAAATAATTAGACTATATTCCAGATGATTTTGTTCTACCTGATTTTTGTAACTAGTTTTCAATTTTCGGCATTTTTCTGCCAGCGCTTGTAAGAGTAACATAACTCCTTCTTGTAAGATGATCAAATGGATTGCACACATTTTTATACTTGCTTTTAGTGTTCGTGTTTCTATTTTCTAGAAGGGAGGGCGGGTGAGTAGAAGGATCAAAACCAAATAAAAATCGAAAAATAAACAAACAAACGAAAAAAATAAAAACTGACATTTTTTTTTCATATTTCGGCGGCCGAATTGTATATTTTATACGATGTATAAATTCCATAACAATGAAAATTTTTACGTTGTATTAAAAATTTAACCATTATTCGAGTTTTCGATAACAATGTTCTTTTAAATCTTTATCATTTACTTGCAATGATATAGACTCACTAAATCTGAATAGATTTTCTCTATTTGTCTCTCTGTCACTTCCTTCATTATATTCATTTGTTTTGTGTGTCCATACTTCCATCGTATACAAAATTAAACTAAATTGAAAAGCAAATATTTCATCATATTTTCTATGTGTTTTTTTTTCTCATCTCTTCCTCTCACTCTTTCTTTTACTAGTTTTGAGTAAAGAAGAATAACGAAGAGACCAAGGTTCATTTTTAAAAAAAATAATAATAGTTTTTATCGAAAAAAATGGAGAAAATGAACAAAATTGTTACAATATTATAAATCGTTTTGCATTTTCGATAGGAAAAAAAACGAGATTAACTCTGAGCGATAAAATTACAATTAAAAAATTTGTATGTAGAAAAGGAAAGAGTTAGATATATTGCAATAATATATATATCGGTTTTTAGCGGTTTTTTTCTTCACATCTTGTTAATATTAATTTTCATCTGTCTCTTTCTCTTTCTTAGTTGTTATAGGCTTGTTTATATTTTGTTGTTGCTGTTTTACTATTTGTTGTTGTTGTTATTGGCGGCAGAATATCGTTGCCGTTGGTGTAGTGGTGGTGGTGGTGTTGGTGGTTTTGATGGTGCGTTTTAATACGCGTTTGAGAAACTTAACGAGGTTGGCCCCATACCGAAGACAAAGGGGCGTCGCTCGTTACGTTGGCTCCAGCATTTTGAGCAAGTCCGCCAAATGTGGGAAAATCTTCTTGAGATTGTGTATTTGGTGCATTTTTGTTGCCCTTTTTGGTCCATGGTGCACCTTGTACTACGAAACCATCTTTACTTTTTTCGGGGCCTTTTTGCATTGCCGTTTCCAATGCGGTGCTAAAATCATTTGTATGAGTTGGAACATTATCGATAATGTCTTCCATGTATTCCTCTTCCAAATTAAGAATATGGTCCTTGGCCTCGCTAACCGCATCTGGTGCACCAATGATTGTGATATCATCCGGATTTTCACCTTGTTTTGGGAATTTAATTTCCACTTTATATTCGTCCATAATTTTATGAATGTTACGACCACGTTGACCAATCAAACGGGCATGAATGCGTGGATCAACTTTAATCACTTCACGCACCAAATCATTTAATTCATTGTAAATTTTCATGATCTCATCTTTGGCCGCATTTGCAGCAGCTTCATAGCCCTGAATCGTAATTATGTTATCGACATCGTCTTCTTTGCGTGGAAACGAAATTTGTACACCATGATTGGCACGTATTTTGTTAATAACGGCACCCTTTCGTCCAATTATCTTTGAATGCCAAATTGGATCGATTTCAAGTTTTAGCTCAAACGAACGTAATTCACGATCTTTACGATTCGCTTCATACTCTTCGACACGTTCATCGATGGCTTTTTTAGCATCAGCAATGCTGGCCGGTGCACCGGTAATTTTAATTATATCTAATTTCTCTTCAGGTGGCGATAATTCAATGTGAACATCATAACGATTCATCAATGCGCGCACATCACGACCATTTGTACCGATTATCCAACGATGAATATCAAATGGAACATTCACCTCTTCTGTCACTGGAACTAATTCAAGCAATGCCGCTTTGGCTGCCTCACATTTCTCCTCGGTACCAGAAATTCGAATGATGTCGCATTGACGCACAGCTTCACCATTCAATTCAGCCGAATCACCATTTGTTTCACCCGATTCGTCGGTTGCGTTACGATCGGGGAACTTAATGTGCACATCATGTTCGTATGTGATTTGTTGAACCTATTTGAATTCGAAACAAAAAAAAGAAAAACCACAAATACATTACAATGATTATTTCGCACATTTTCTTTTCGCTTGGTCAATTTATTACCTTGCTACCGCGCGGACCCATCACAACACGATGATGCTTTTGAGGAATAACGCAATCAATTGTTACTTGAGATTCCAAATCGTGAACAATTTCCAAAATACGCTTTTTGGCAAGCTCAACACACTCTTTAGAACCTTTCAATGAAACATGATGACTTTCGGTGCCTGTGTTGTTCCACAAAAAAAAAATTAATGATAAATTTCAAATAAATATCGAATTTTAATTCATTTTTGGCATTACCTTGACGAGGGAAGGAAATTAAAACACCGCCGTAGTCGTCTGAAATGCGACGCAATACTTCACCGCGACGTGCAACAAAGTGCTTATGATGCTTTGGATCAACCAAAACTTCACCTTCAGTGATATTATCTAGATGAAGAAGAAAATGTTCACATTTAGCATATATACATCGATTAACAAATTTGCGTTCTTTGGAATAATTCAAATGAATGTTGGGTTCGATAGATATAGTTAGAGGGATTGTTTGCACTCACCGTTGTTTTTGATGATTGCCTCGAGTTGAGTTTTGGCAGCCAATACATTTTCTTCTTTGCCAATGATTGTAATGACTTCTTTGTCTTCATCGTTATTACCAGGGAAGATGATGCGAGCACCGGTTTGATCGCGAATTTCCTTAATCGATGCACCATTTTTGCCAATCAAAAATTTGTGATGCTGGGGCTTGGCACGTACTTCGGCGGTGAACGATGATTGCTGTCGTTCATTGCTCAATTCAATCAATTGTTGCTGTAATATGTAAAAAGCGTATTTAAATTTAGTTTAAAGAAGAAGATAAGAAGAAAATCAGCGATAGAAAAATAAGGCGGCATCGAAAATAGAGTTTACCTTGGCTTTTTCGACATCTTCTTTTGGTCCGCGAATGACAACTTTGTCGCTGTTTGATTCGGTGGTTGGGAATTTGATGGATACATTTCCGCATTCTTCGATGATGGCCGATATAAGCTTGCCACCGGCGCCAATAATTGAATTATAGTATTTCGGTGGAATGGTCAATTCTTCCGTGATGACATCGGCTAATTCGGATTGAATTTTAAGGATGCGTTCACGTGCATCGTTTACATTCTCTTTACGACCTGAAATAACGATCACTTCATTTTTATCACCTTCGGCTGGCAATTCAATTTTCGTTTGTGTATCGTCGCGAATTTTTTTTATATTTGCACCACCCTTGCCGATAATGAATTTATGGAATTTTTTGAAAATTGGCACTTCCATAACGAATGACGATTCTTGAGCATCTTTAACCGATTTCATCAATTGTTTGTGGCATTTATCGACCTCATCTTTTGGGCCACGCAGTTTAACCACATCATTCTTCTCCGATGAATTCGGTATCAAAATGTTAACTAGCGGATATTTGGTGCGCAATTCACGAATGCTTTCACCTTTCGGTCCGATCAATGTGCTATGCAAACGATAATCAATGATCACATCCTTTTCCTTTTCGTTGTCCAATTTTTCGACTTTCTCTTTAATTTCTTTGTGTGCACGGCGCACACCTTCGATGGGTCCTTCGATGTGAATTTTATTACCGCCAGCCTCATCTTCGATATTAATATCGACTTTAAGTTCCTCCTTCAATCGTGTTATATTGGCGCCAGCTTTGCCAATAATATGTTTGGCATGATTACGATTGACCTGCATATCGACAAATGTGAAATTTGTTTCATAGTCTTTAACAATTCTAGCAATTGTGGTTTCGACCAAGTCAAGTTGTTCCGGTGGTCCTTCCAATGTAATGATGCTGTCCTTGAAATCGACCAGCACATTTGAATCGCCGGTGATTTTTTTGATGTGTTCACCTTTTTTACCAATGATGTACTTATGAATCCATGCTGGTGCTTCAATAATTGTTGAACGCTTTGAATTGGCCTTTTCATAAACCATACTCAATGCACCGCCCAATTTTTCTTGTGGTCCACGCAACGTGATGGTATCGGATTTAGTGTCCGATGATGGAATCTCAACCGAAACGCCAGTATTTCTAAGAATCTCTTGAATTGTCGAACCACGTTGACCAAATACATATTTATGCTGGGCTTTTGGCACTTCAACGCATACCGTTGAACATTTCTTTTCCATATCCCGATAAATGCTTTCAATGATTGCTTTCGATTTGGCCACACCATCTTTTTCGCCAGTGATTGTTATTTCATCTTGCATCACGGATGGCGGTGGTACGTTGATACGGGCACCAGTTTGTGCGGCCATCTCATTTAGATTTTCATTCGACGGTCCCAAAATGAATGGATGGAAAATTTTCGGCACATGTACACGTTCGAATGCTTTTTTCGATTGTTCATCGGACATTGAACGAATTTCATGTTCGGCCTTTTCAACACCCTCTTTCGGTCCGCTGATCGTAATAATGTCACTCTCTTCGGATATGCTCGGCACATTGATTTTCGTTGCTGATTGCTTTTCGATTTCCTTTAAACGTTCACCGCGCTTGCCCAATATCAAACCATGATGCTCTTTTGGTATATTGATTTGTTTAACCGTTTGCGTTTTATAATTCATCGAAATTAAACGGAATGCATCTTGCACCTCATTTTGACGTCCACGAATCGAAAATGTAATCGATTGATCTTTGCCGGTGGTGATTTCAATAAGAGCACCCGTGTCTTTCATTATCGATTTGCAAATCCGTTGCGATTCACCTTCGCCAAATTTTTCCGTATCAATTTTACGCTCTTCGAATGGTACGACAAACGTTTTTGATACCGTTGAACTTTCAACACGCATCTTGCTTGTGGAAGCATTGTTAATATGATTTTGAGGTTTTGAGGCCTTTAGTGCCGGGAATAGATCTTCGTAAGTGCGTATTGGCGGGGCCGTGGTCGCATTGTTGTCAATGTTATTATCATTGGTGGTGGTGTTGTTGTTGTTAACTGTAATTTAATTCAATTTATGAAACTATTACATATAATTCAGTCACATTTTTTCATAGCTACTCGTTTCTAGAACAACCATCAAATTGAACAATTTTGTCAGGTCACTTGTTTGAATCAAACTTACAAATTTTGATTCAGCTACATGCAACATTTTTTTTTTTGTTATATACTTACTTTGTGATTCCTCCATCACTGCTGCTTGCATTACTACTGAATTTAAGAAGAGTCCTGATCCGTTCCAAGTCGTCACAGTCACACTGAAATGAGGAAAAATTGAATTGTTTTTTGCACAATTAATATCATACGTATGCACGTTAAACTGTCAATCTAAATCTCTTTACAATGATGCAACATTATTTAATTGCACGGAAGAAAAAATTTTGTATGTTGAAATTCATTCAAAAACTAACGCATACGCGTACTCATTTCCGAATTCGGTGTGAACGTTGTTGAACTGTGAATTTCTAGTGGAACAATATATTCATTCTGTCCACCGCACATTTTAAAAATAGATAAATGTGACCAACCAACAACAACAACAAAAATCATAATCTAATTAATTTTCGGTTTAGAGCACCGAAAAAAAGCCATAAAATGACACAATATAAGCGTACACTGCACATACAATTGATCATTATGTGTTATTGTACGTCGCTTTTTTTTCTTATTCTTCTCTTTTTAGGGGACTAAAGGAAAGAGTGTGTGGCCGGTCATTTTCGATGCAAAACAATTACCCAAATTCTTCAACAAATTTATTTTTATCTACAAAATGTTTATTATTTTAATAGCAAACATAAGTATAAAGTACAATTCGACAAAACAATTCAACGATGTAAGCGTATAATCTTACAATACTCAAGAAGAAACAAACGATGAGCAAATTGAATGTAAGCCACAAGTGATTGGACGAGAGAAAGAGAGAGAGAGAGAAATAGAGAGATCCTTTTGTTCATTTCATCCGAAAAGACGGTGATATGTTTGCTCGACTTGCGTCCGCAATCGCTCAATCGTCATAAACATGTCCATATTGTTTAACAAATATTCACCGAGAACTGTACAACTCTCGAAAAAAAAAACAGTCATGTTCGATAATAAATGAATATGCCTATTTGATTAGCTACGTTGATTATTTTCTGTGCCTTCGTTTATATTATCTGAAATGTTGGTTACAAATCGCTTATCAGATTCTCTCACACATTTCAAAATGGAAAGAGAAAAAAAAAAACAGTCCAAACCACTTGAACGTCATTTCGTTTATTTTTCGCTCTTTCTCGCTCCCTTGTAATCTTGTTGGGAATATGAAAGAAATGCATGCGAAAAAAAAACGGCACATCATCAGCACACATCATTTGCGGCAAAAGCACAAATAGCTCGCTTGGACGCAATGAGTATGTGTGTGCGTGAGTGTGTGCCGTGCAAATCAATTAAAACAAACAAGTGATGAATTGCGTGTACTTGTTTTGATTAGATTCACACGGATAAACATTAATTTACAATGTAGCTCATTTTCATATGATAGTGATAAGGGAATCTTTTACTATATATGTACATTTATTTAAAATGTTTTCATTTGTGTTGTTGCGGCTGTTGCATGCTCATTTCATTCTTCTTCTTCTTTTTTTCTCGAAAATCTTGAAAATCTCATGCTTCTTCATGCATTTTCATTAGAAAGTCTTTCTATCTCTATTTCCCTTTTTCTTGCTCCATCTCTCCCCGTCCCTTTCTCTCTCTCTCCCTCTCTTGTTTTTATCGTCTCTGTTAAATCAACCGATCGAAAATGCGAATTGTATACGCGTCAAATGTAATAAAATGCATTGGTTGAATGTAGTAAAATTTGATAAAAAAAAAGGTTCATGTTCGATTCGATAATTCAGCGTGCAAGCATTCACAATGTTGAAGAGAAGAGAAAAAAAAAACAAGCGAACATGATATTTGACCAGTGAAGCAATACATGAAATGAAACCTTGCACATTGATGAAAAGAGAGAGGTGAAATTCGCTCGATTACAGTAATCTCTCTAACTGTTCTCCTAAGATGAAAAAAACAAAACAAAAGAAAGAAACATGTACGAAATGGTAATCGGTTCCGCATGTTATATTCCGCGAATGAATGTTGTTGTTGGAGCAATGATGGGTTTCATTTCTTAAATCGACTCCAAAGAATCACAATCGATTTCTTGACCATATCATATTCATCGTTCAATGCATATTTCTACTGGTGCCACTGTTGGATGTGATCAATTCCAGTCCAATTGAATCAAATGCAAATTTCAGGTGAAAATCGAAATGTAAAGGCGTCGAAAATTGATACTTTTTTTTAAATTGACATTGTGTATAAAAATGCTTAAAAGATGTCGTCAATGGAAAATAAAACGTATGTTCCACGTTTACTTCTTCTCGCTCACTTTCGAAATTGAATGTTTTAATGGTATACGATTTTTTTATTGTTATTTTTAAATGCATAATGTATTGAAATCGATAAAATTCATTAAATAAGCATATTAAATGATTTGGAGTTTTTTTTTCGATGACCTTGGTTCTTGCGGTGACGGCAAAAATAATGAAACCACTTCAATATGTTGGATGATATGAAGTAACATTTGAAGAAGAGTGATGTCCGAATTGGTGAAATTCCTTTAGAATTGGACAATAAACTCTTTTGAAAAGCAAGAGGACAAAAAAAAAATAAATGAAGAAATAGCTTTTGTTTATTCATTGACAGATAAATTGATTTTATTTAGATCATCGTGTGGTGATGAAATGATACCGAAATGTAGAGAAACAAATACATTGCATTGAATACGGCGACAACATATCAATTTTAACGCATTGAACTCGGATAAAACATCTGCGTACAGTTGTTCTTCGGAGAGAAGAGTAGAAGTAAATAAACATTTCCACATTGTGTGTGGCACTTTGCAAAACACACAATATTAAGATGTGTGTGTGTGTGCTCGTGTGTGGAAATGCATGCGCGCCGTTTGCCAAACATACACGATACGATGTATGTATAAATGACGTAAGAAAAGCAACACATCGGCCTCAAATACCAAACCATAAAGCACAAATTTTGCGCACACCATGTCGGCGAAGAGTAAGCGATGTGTTTATTTTTACGTGTATTTGCCAGAAGATGGAATGAAAAATGTTGAATTGAAAATAGCACATACATACGTACACAAACTCACACCGCAAATTAATGTGATGATTTGGCACCTCTCGTCGATAGCCGCGTATATTCCGTCTACTTGAAATATGTCGATTGGTCGCCCAATGTCTGAAAAGCGGTTATGTGTTGCGTTCTTGTGAAAGTAATTTGTTAAATGGTACACGTCTAATGGATGGTTACAATCATTTTGAACATCGATTCAATAGCAAACTGAGAGAGAGAGGAGATAGAGAGGCAACGATGGAAAATATCCAATTGAATGTCCCTTTCCAAATTGCATTTGTCTATCGAAAACACGTTGTTGGGCACTGATTTCCAGATGAACAATGTGCGTACGAAAAACTCGGTCGAATTGCTCGCACCAAGCACACTGCAATGTGTTTTTCTTTCTTTTTTTTTCGTTTTCAAACAGAAAATATGAATATTTTGGATCATTTGAAATGGTTTTGTTTTGTTCTGCATTATTTGAGATATGTGTTTCATTCGGTTGCAATCAACGATAATGATTTGTCTGTCGTTTTTGAGGTCGTTTAAACACGAGAGACGGGTCTTTCCTTTCCTAATTACTTTTTTTTTCGCCAGCACTTTTACTCATTTTAACCAAATTATTGTTCAGCAATTTAATTCTCCGTCCGTTGTTGTTGTTTTTTTTCTGTTCCTTCTTTATTTCATTTATTGCATACTTACACAATGAGTTCATGATCGCCTGATGACACGTGTATAATATGTTTGCCTCTTTCCTTTTGACTGTTCCAACTGAATATCGATACATATCAGTTAAACACAGATACACAAATTGAAAACAGTTGAATGAATGAAAAGAATGAACGAACTCAGTAATAATATGCAATGAACCCGAACAAAAGAAAAACTTGCTGCTATGATTTTTACTTGAACGGCATGGCACAGCGTGGCAAAGTCATTTCGAAAGAACGGCGAATCGGAGCCATTAGAAACGATATAGAAATGAAGAGCGAGAGAGAGAGAGAGAAAAATAAAAAACGACAACGACGACACAAATGTTATTCATTATCAATCAAAAATTCCTACATAGGATTCACCGTTCATTTTTGGTCAAACAGAGAATCACAAACAATTTCAATTTAGTGTATCAACAAGCAACAACAAAAACTTTGAAACAGTTTGTGTCTCTGTGTGTTGAACAGAAAAAAAAAAATACAGACACACACACCATCGATACACGGACATAAATTCTAGACGATTGGCAAGTGAGAGTATTTTTTTATATTATTGTTGTTGTTGTTTTGTGTTTCTGTTGTAGTGTCGGCACTCGCACATAACACACTACATTCGTCTCTCTTCCACGTTAAAATGGCATTCCGTGCGATCAACTGTACAGCAAAAGCTCACATGATAACACATTTTTAAAAACAGAAACCGTATACACTAACCTCACAAAAGATACAATACAATTTTTCGTTTTTCTGAATTGAAACGAGCACGGAAAATGAAAACACACGCAAAAAGAGGAAAAAAATAAGAATTTTGAATGATAAACAACAAAAAATGCGGTAAACGTCTTTTTGTAGACGTGTCATTAAAAATGCAAAAACCCAATGAATCTTGGTTGCATACACGCAGCAATACAACACCATCACCATTACCATTAATAAAGTGGTAGAATCACATTCGCATTTACACACAATTCACAATCGCATCTCGATGGCATACCAAATGAAAAAAAAAAACGAACCGACGAAAGAGATGATGAAAAAAGCAGTCACCTCAGAAAGGCAACAACAATAATAAAATAAAAGTGTTGCCCATTGCGGCATACGGAGAAAGTAATGAAAAATCATTTCAAGTTGAATTGATTGATTTGGCCGGGATATTTTCTCTCGTCCGAAAAAAATTGCACCAACTTACAATACTTGTTTGAAACAATATACATACTTGACCGTGAACAAATATGCGGTGTGTCAATGACAAATGCGAACAATGTGCATCTCTTATTCTGTAATTGACATGAAATAACAATCATGCGAAAATCTGCGTATCAGATTTTCGTAATTACCGCTCACTCAGTTGGCTGTAAATATCCCGATTAGATTGATGTGTGTGCGTGCGCGTGTGGCGCAAGTGTTTGTTTGTGTATGTATCAATATTTGTACAATCGAACCATATGGTCGTTGATAAAAGTTAACTTTCTTTCATCAAAAATCTATTTTAAGTGTGGATTTTTTTCATTGGTTCGGTTGTTGAATTTGGTCATTGATCGATGACGAAAAGCCAATGGCAATCTGAATTTCATGGATTTATGCCAACTTACATCGATCCCGAAGCACATTTCCATGCAATCAAACGGAAATGATGGATTTGTATATGTGTGTGTGTATGTATGCGTTTCAGGTTAGTTGAAGTGCCGCACAAAAAAATCCCGTTTATTCAAATAAATGCGTGTTATTAGAAAATGGTCAATTTTCTACAATGAGAGTCAAACAAAAATATATATTTTCGTTTCAATTTGCTTCAACCATATGGATCGTCAAAAGAATGAATCGACTGATTTCGAAGGGATCAATGGGGCCGAATTGTGTATTTGTGTGTGTAATAAAATATACACAACACATCAAAAATCTACCACGTCGACAAATGATGATCACAAGCAATTGTTGCTTCTTCTTCATTGCTGTTATTACTCTTTGAGAGTGTTTAATTTGGTTCGAATCGTCTTTCTTTCACTCCGTCATGCCGATGTGAAAGAGATCGCACAGAAGAAGAAGAAAAAAATTAACCATATGAATACACACACGCACACACCGACACACATCAACAGTTGTATTGTCATTATACCTTTCTGAGTGTTTTTTTTTTTAGGTTATTTGGCTGTGTGTTGTCAATACAACGTCGAAATGTGTATAGTTGAAGAAGAAGAAGAAAAAAAAATTCATTTGGCGTATGTACATGTTTATGCGATTGTATTAGTGCACGTAAAAGAAATTCAACACAATAAAATCAAATGAAAGAAGATGAACAAGATGATGATGATGATGATGATGATGAAAAAGAAGAAGTAGGGAAAAAAGAGTGTCGATCTTTGAGCATGAAATTCAACTAAAAAATTGTTCAAAATGAATCCATGCGTTCGTTTTCCCCATGTAAATCATTCGAAATGAACGATGAAGAGAACCACGAAAAAGAGAATTGAATTCACTACATTAATTGCGGTGAAAAGCCGCACTCTCTCATAGAACTCCATATGTATGTTCGATAGATAGACGAGAGAGAAAGAGAGAGAGAGATTCATACATGTGCATGTTATATGATTATAGAAATTTATCTATATCTCTCTCTCGAAATATTATAATTTCAGTTTTCGAAAACCCACGAGTATGGGCCGCGCGCCGCACCGAATGCGACTATGAACGACGAAAAGTAATGATGAAACTATATTCTATATTATATGTATATATGAGAGCATGTGAATATGTGAGTATGATAGAAAGAGAGAGAAAATATGCTGAACACTTACTGTACTGTAATCCAAATAATCCGGTCTTGAATATTATTTTATCAATGAAGCCAGTTTGAAAAACACTTGGTTGACGCTTATCTGTAACACACAGAATTATTTCAGATGAAAAAAAAAAAACAACAAATCATTGAAATATTAAAAAAAATATCGTTTAGTACATCAATTCATGTATTTGCTCAATGCTTTCAATTTAGTCTATATCTTAATGACAATGTATGTTAAAAATTTGTCTATGAGATAGAGAAATGATGAAATATTCGAATCTAGTTATGTGTATTATCGAAAAGAGGAGAGAAAAATGTGCTTTCGGCATTGATTTCGATCGTTTATCCTTTATTGCTTCATTTCTTTTGCTCAAAAATGTGCTCCGATATATTTTAAATCGATTCTTAATTGGTCGTTTGGTTCATTTGAAAATAAATTGGTTTTTGCGTATTTAGATTGTTTTATTTTCAGGTATAATTAAGACTTTCGCACACTTTTATTTTACTTCTAATCACCAAATTCGGACAAATTGTTTCCATTACAAAAAAAAAATCACTTTAATACTTTGTTTTCGTTTTTTTATTGTTCGCTTGCATATTAATTTGTTTCATTTCATTTTTTTTCTTGTCGTGCGTTTTTCAAACTTCGAACTTTTCTTTGGTCTCTCTCTCTGTGTGTTGTTTTTGAATGTTGACGTTTTAATCAAATCGAGGCAGAAGAAGAAGAAAAAAATGGGTGCAAGTCCAATGTAGGCAAAAATCTTGCTTCAGAACGCAATAAATGTTCGAACAAAATAACAACTTTAGACCGAATTGAAGTGAAAGAAAACCGAATTGACGACGACGACAACTTTTTGCGACAACAAACCACAACCGAATTTCGTTTTTTTCTCTTCTTTTTTTTGAACCAATGAACTGATTATTAATTTTCCGAGTTTTATGTTTAATTTTATTGTTATTATTATTGTTATTTGGTTACTGCGTTTTTAATCGATTCCGAACAAAACTGCAAAATGCCTAATGAATGCAATTTCGATTCGCTTTTTTTTTCTTTTCTTTTCAATACTACTACTCTAATATGTGTGTTTTTTTATTAATATTTTGGGAGAAAGGCGAACTACACGTACCGACTTCCAAGCAATAAATGAAGATTTGACTGAAGAGAGAATGAAACCGCAAAAGTACTGTACTGTCTAGAGCACTTTCGAATAGATTTGTATGTGTATGTGCGTGCGTGTATGCGTAGATTTACATGTATATATGAGTGTGAGTGTGTTTTTTATACGTATCAGTGCGCTAGTGCATGGCTTAAACTGTAGTTTAGTTGTGTATGTTGAAGAATCCGGTGCTGTTCGGTGTGTATATGTATACTACTGAACACGGGCCTCTCATTCCTATGAACGTGTACCATATTTTATTTTTTGTCCTGCTCTCGCATGGTCGATCTTTTTCATTTTTGTTTCACGCACTGTCTCGACTGTTATACAAATCATAACCACGTATGCATCTTGATTTGCCAACTGTATCACTTTGCGTTGACACGCAACATCGTCATCAATTCATAATAACAATAATAATATGGCTTAAAAACATTCGGGAATACAATTACAATTTAGCTAGAAAATATTGATTAAGCAATAGAGACAACAAAAATGCCGGACACAATTGTTTTTTTTTTTTTTTTAAATTTCTTTATCTAAATCGAATTCATTTAGTTGGGAAATCCAAAAAAAAAAATTTTTTTTTGTAAAAATATGCATATGTATGTGCGACAAAAAATACGCTCTGAAGTTTGATCACTCCGATAAATGTTTAAAATGACAACTAGATGGCGTATGCTTAAATCATCTATTTACATATTTTCTAAATGTTTAGCCATTTTTACTTGTATAGTTTTATTACTATTTAATTTTTTTAATTGATTTGCCTATATTTAATGCGATGTGTGTGTGTTTTTATATCGTTGAAATAATTCACTTGACATTCACTTTTAGAACTGTTTCTTTATGCAAAAATGACGGGCGGATTATTTTGCTCATTTTTTGATATACTAATTTTATTATCGGTTTGTTCGGTTCGCGGTGGTTGTGCATTGGTTGTATTATTCCCTGTCGTACCAAACGAAAATACATTGTGAATTTCGATGTTAATATTCGGCGTTTCATCGGGTTTTGTCGGTGAGGGTTTTTTGCCAGAATCAAAGACTTCTACATCGGTATTTTGTTGGGCAGTTTTTGATGGTTTGGATGCAATTCGTGCCGGCATATTGCCCCATGTTTGTGGTGCATTCGAGGCTGGAGGTGGAGCTGGATTTGTAGTTGTTGGCGTCGATTCAGTCGATGGCAATGGCGGACAATCGGTCGGATCAACTGGTACAAGTTTAAATAAAACTGAACGGAAATAACGGCAGAAAATTGATAATATAATTCAGTCAGGTCCATTCAAAACCTTTGACTCAAAATGTCAAAGGGTTCCATTTTAATTATAAATTCTAAGAAAATTACCTGGTCGATAGCATGACTCTTGAAAATTAAGTTTTCCACAGCAGAATTGTCGGATACGTTCATCGCTTTGGGAAAACACTTTTTTACCCATTTCGTTCACTTGATACTGCAACATTGATGGATACATGGGCCAGAATCCTTTCGCTACAAAAAAGCAAACGATGTCTGAAATACGAAAATGAGTCAAAAAACACGACTTTTTTTTAATAAAAGGATCCCTTCTTCAACTCACATGGTATAATAAACAGACCCAAAAATCCCCGCGATGTTCGTGTGGAATGCGTCTGAATAGAATTTCGCAAATGAACACTGGACGTAATAAGTGTGTCGGTTTGATTCCGGTCATCATTTTTTATATCTACGTTCGATTTGCCGCCAAAATCAATGGATTCGTTTGATTTGGTAATATTGAATTTATCAATTCGAATGTCCACTTCCATCCGACTATTGGCTGCATCATCATTACTACCGTTCAATGTGTGCTCAGGTGTGGTCGCTAAATTATCGATTTTAATCTCGTCGCTTACATTGAATGCAACAGCAATTGACGCCACAAACAAAATTACAATCAAAATCGATGCACTTTTCATTTTTGACAAATAATCGATCAACCAAAAATACTTTTTTTTAATATTTAAGCTTTGATCCAAATGAAAGAAAACAAATAATGATTTCAACATTAGCAAATAACAACAAAAATCTATGTATCTCCCGGTCAAGTTGATTTGTAGCCGTTTCAAATGAGACTAATGTTTGTAATTCAATTGAATTATTCGTTGCGGCCAAATTGTGACACAGTGCACAAAAAATATATATTTATTGTCTCGTATCGTGCCGTAAATCGAATGCATTATAATCGTTGGTGCATTTCCATGTCTGTCTTATCTGTACAAAACCATCACACCAATAATAATAAAAAAGCATAAGCGCGCTCATAACTTTGAACAAAAAAAAATGTGAGTTTGCATGCAGCCGACCACACAAATCCATAAATATGAACAACAATGATGGAAAAAATGGAATTTTCCATGAAGATCTGCTTACATTTGCATAGACCACATGCTTATGATACGCATATTTATCGACGAAAAACGAAAGTTAAGTTGAACAACAGCAGTAATGGTAACAAACAAACAAACATAAAAAAATGGTAAAGTCAGAAAATGAATAGGTTTTTTGTTGCTCTCATTTTCATGTGAATCATATATTCTGAATTGCATGAACCCGGTATTGTGCCAGATTTTCGATCAATTTTTCCAACGAAAGTGAAACATTTGTGACGCTTTTATTTGTTGCATGCAATACAATCTACATGTATGACCGTGTCACTTCAGAATCGTAAATTTTATGCATTTACTGCTTTATAGGAGAATCTCCAAGGGGCCAAACAACAGTAGGATAAATTATTAACAGTGGGATATTAAAAACTTATTACATGCATATACGTACATATGCATTTAGTGCTTTTTTGCTACGTGTAAACATAATGTCAATCATATTATCATTATCAAATCTACCAGAGCAGAGAGACTCTTGTACCAGATCATTGTATAAGTCGTTTTATCAGTTGGTTGACGCATGCCATGGAACGGCGATTACATATGTATTTTTGGTATTAGATATATCATATTTGTACTGATATTCCCCCTGAGAAGCGCTTTTGCGGCCAGACTATGTGGATTAGCTTTTGAAACTTTCAGTGTACAATATATCTTAATTACTCAAATGATGATATATTTAGAATTATGACATAAAAAGGAGATATATTTTTTCAACCATTTGTATTAAAAAAATTCCATTTCTAATACAAAATCGTATTCACCGATAGACAAAACTACTATAAACATACTACATTTGACTGTAGATAATTCGCCTATACATAGAGTGTGCAAAGAACGCGGACACATCCGTTAACAATCTTTGTCGCAAATGAATATTTGAAATATTCCTTTTATCATGAGTTGTTTACAACGATAGTGGTTTTTTTATTGCACTGTTTACTTTTCAGTCAAAAATGATGAATATCAGTGATAACGGCGAATTTATCTCATTTTTTCTTAGAATGTTTAAACAATTCACTTTCCCACAGTATAAAGCGTTAGATTTCCAACTGTCACGACAGAGTAGTTGTGAATAAAAGAAGAAGAAGATGTTTCAAGTAAAAGTTTATCGCTTTATTCTCAGTTTTGTTATTTTGGTTTTGGGTCGATTTGCGGTTGCTGATTTACTTCCGATTGATGGTTTACTTTCTGATTTACATTCGGTTCTGCAGGATCCATTATCACAGAAACTGTGCCCATTAAAAACGGTAAATTTTGAATCGCATCGAATTAGATATTTGGAAAAGTGTATTTTGCTTTTATTTGACAGAATGAATTGATCGAATATTACAGCTATCTCGCGGAAGAACATAATGTTATCACCAAAGATGGATATAATTTGACAATTTTTCGGTGCAATTCAAAAAGTAAATCAACTTATGAGAAGGAAGTTGTAGTCTTACATCATGGTATAGTGTTATTTTTCCAATTTTTTATTTCATCTTTATTTGTATATTTCTTAAAAATTAAACATATTTCTTCGACTTTATTTATAGGTATTGTGTCATCATCAGATGATTATTGCGTGGCAGATCCGAGTCATGCATTGGCATATGTTTTGGCGGGTGCTAGCTATGACGTTTGGTTATCCAACGCGAGGGGCAATTTTTATTCACGACGGCATATCACACTAAATCCAGACGAGAAACAATTTTGGAATTTTACATGGTACCAGACCGCTCTATATGATTATCCGGCCATTTTTGACTATGTTATTCAAGAGACAAACCAATCGAAAGTTTATTCGGTTGGTCATTCCCATGGTACATATTGGAGAAATGATTTTTCATAGCGATGAACTCATATTAGAAGGTTCTGGCAACAGAAAACCGAAAAATATACTTATATTGTGATGAAATCAAGTCTGTTTGATTTAATTCTCATCAAAGAATTAGCTAAAATGGAAAATAGTGAAAAAAACGGATTTTTTTGTAGGTACAACTTGTTTGATGACTCTTTTGTCAGAGCGTCCTGCATATAATGATTACATCCATGCAATTAGCCTTATGGCACCAGCCGGTTACATGAAGCACCATAAAACTATTTTTTTTTTTGTGGAAAAACTGGACGCGTTAAATGTAAGTAGGATATAATTGGAGATCAATGTCAACTGCTGACTTTTAATGCCACAAACATGTTCAGAATCTATTTGCTCTCAGAAAACTCAGATGTTAAAATTCAAAGTAATCAGAGCAAAATGCCATTTTAACATGAGGTTTTCTTTTCACATGGTAAAATATTATTTTACCCGCAACACATTTCTTTACGGGTAAAACGGCATTTTAACATGTGAAAAAAAAGCCGCATGTTAAAATGACGACAAAATGCCATTTTAACATGGAGAAATTTTGTCACATGTTAAAATTCCGTTTTACCCGCAACGAACTTACTTAACATCACTACTGCCTGACTATATGGTGCCGGCAGAATACGTTTGTCTGTCGTCCTAATCGCTCACACCGAATGGTAAACTGAACCGAAGAGCACTCATTTCTCCTGATGATGCGTCATTTGCCCATCAGTCGCATGAAGCTCCGCAAAGCGAAATTGAGAAAAAAAAATTGCCGCAATTTGGAGTGAACTGTTGAGCATTGGACGTATTAGTCGGCATAACAATTTCTTTGAATTGGGCGGACATTCACTACTTATCATGCAGTTTACTAACCAAGCTAAAAAGCTCTACGACATACATGCTGACACTCGTGATCTCTTTTCTTAAAGATTTTGCAGAAAGAATAAGTGAGTCTTGCAAAAGACTGTATTGTGATTCTGTCATTCCGGCTCGTCAATCTGGTAATAAAACATCAATATTTCAGTTTCCAAGCGGCTACGGAGATATATCTTATGCTTTTGAGCTACCGCGCGATATTGATAAAAGTGTTCCGGTTTATGTGCTATCCTGGACATCGCCAGAGAAAAAGAAACCTACTTCCATTGTGGATAAAGATTGTACAGCCCAATGGTCCGTATGCAATTGGTGGCTATTCGTCTGGAGGAATTCACGCTTACGAAATCACATATCAACTCATAAACAGTGGCCATACAGTCTCGTTCTTAATGAATGAAACCGAAAATTTCTTGAAGTATTTAGCACGTAAATCTCAATGTCTGAAAATGTTAAACGAAAATTCGAATTGGTGGACGCTTGTTAGTAAATTATAACTCAAAGAAGCTATTGAAGAGGTGAAATAGAAGAATGTCAATTCAACTGCATCAGATATCGAATGGGGAGCATTGTTATCGAAACAGCGTGCTCATTACATGGATCTGTGCATCGGCCACAAAATAAATTCGCTTCCTATAAAAGATAACTTATTCTAAGCTACTGAGTGTTTGGATAATAGTGATATTACAACTTATAAATTTTCAAAATTGGGTTGGGAAAAATATAATCTCCAAATTTTATGGTCAGATAATTTATAGAGAAAACAATAGGTGGGCGTGGTAAAGGTTTTAAAGGGGGCTAATCTAAAGATGCTTTCAGCTGGTATCAAAATTAATTACAGGTAAGGAAATTTGGTTTAAAAAAACCCAACAAATCGAGAAAATTTCCATTGAAAATTTCCATGATTGTTTTTTTTATGGGATAATCGGAATTGACATAAAAATGTAAAATGAATTGTATTGTACAGATACTAAGGTTTGTAATTAATTATTAATTTCGGTGAGTATTTTTCAAAGCAAAATATGTGAGGAGGAGCTTGAGAAGAGCACTGTGGAGCATAGCTCCTTCTCAGTGAGGAGCAAAATATTAAAAGGTAAAAAATAATTGGATTTTAATTATGTTGTTAACTTTAAATATTTTGGTCCTCAGTACATCTCCAGCTCCTGCTCAGATTTGTTAATTTTGTTTATTTAAGTTTTAATTTGGCTATTGAGTGTATAAGATTGGTAAATTAAAATAGAGTCTACGAAAAAAATGGCAAATCAAATACATAACGTATCATTCATTGGTATTTTTATTTAACCGGTCTCTCCACACTTCCAAACCATTTAAAAACGCTTCGAAAAAAAATTCTTATAAGTATATACGATCTTCGAAATATCAATTTTTTGAAATTCAAAGATTTTGGTGTCTCAAGGATAAAGAAAACCATTAAAATGGAAGTCTTTCTTCAACAATCAGTTATTAACATAATGGTAATTTCAATTAAGTATTGGAGTTTCGTCGCTGTTTTTAGTTTCAGTCTTCCTCTTGCGATCATACGACTTTCTACATTTTAATTATTTCAGGACAGGTATTCATATACATTGTATATTCATTTTAATTAAAAGATAAAGTGGCCAAAACTTTATCTCACGATTTATAATGCGTCATTGAAACGTTGACTGAATTGAAAATTGGAAATACCTTAATTAAGTTGATTAAACAAACGGATGTTCTTATCAAATGGCGATGTATATGCTAAAACTATTGATTAGATAACAATGAACGCAATAATCACGTACGGTCAAGTGAAATGCCACACTTAAAATTGTTCGCGCTTATTCAATGGCCACACATTTTTTCGTAAACGAATGATTAGAGACACAATCAATGAACGGTTAAGAATAATAGTGACTTTAAAAGCTAGATGTGAAACGTCTTGGCAAAATTTAAGATTACAATTTAATCTCAACTATACGAAGACATTTTACAACTATCTCTCAGGGTAGCTACGAGACGCATAGGTAAAAGAGGCGGTATATGCGTGACTTATTATTGTTCTCAAGCATTCATATATATAAAATAATCAGTAATGTGGGAGAAGGGGGGTTTACCCCCCTATGACTTCAAAATCCGATTTGGCAAATCGGATCGGATTTGCTAGGCATTTTCATCCGAAACGAAATTTTTCTCGATTTCTTAGGGTTTTTTGAAGAAAATTTTGAAATCATACCCCTTGGAAATTCTTTCTCGCACATTACTGCATATAATCGAAATAAATCGATCTGTGCTGCTAACACAGTTTTTCTAGTTAAAAAAAAAACGTTTTGAGATAAGGAAACAAATATAAATCAATTCTTTCGCATTGAATAAAAGGTGCACCGAACTACTTTGCTTTGGTTACTATTAATTGGATCGCCTCTTCAATCAGTGCAAAAAAAATTGATGTGAAAGGTAGTAAAAGTGATTCGGAAGACACATAGAATGAAAAAAATGTTATGCCAAATAGTGCTTGTTTTGGTTCTGTCCCATTTGACAATACAGGTGGCAGAAGCATTTTCTGTTGCCTTAAAGAGGCAAACTTTAATTTATCATGAACCACCACATGAAAATAATTTGAAAATGAGTGACCAAGTTATTGAACACTACATTACACAACGTTTAGATAACTTCGATCATCAAAATAATCTTACATTTGAAATGGTGATTGAGAACTTTTCTTTTTCTATAATTGTATTTTTTTTTTTTTTCAATTTAAAATAATAAACCAATAATCTTACATTTATGACATTCAGCGTTACTTAACAAATGATATTTGGTTCAAAAGTGGAGGACCAATTTTCATAATGATCGGTGGAGAATGGGAAATAAGTGCAGGACATATTTTACCCGGTCAACATATTTACGACATGGCGAAGGAGAATAACGGATTACTGCTTTACAGTGAACATAGATTTTATGGAAAATCTCAACCAACAAAGTATTTATTCTAATTTTTTTTTGTGATTAATAATGGCCAATATCTTTTTCTTATCCAGGACATCATCAACCGAAAATCTAAAGTATTTAAGTGTTGAGCAATCATTGGCTGATTTAGCTCATCTTATAAGAGTAATAACTTCCGATAAAGAAATGAATGCAACTGGCGGTGTAATTTTGGTGGGTGTTTATGACTGGGATAGGCTCCATGTTCAAATAAATTATTTTTATCGTTGACCTATTTTCAGGTAGGTGGTTCATATGCAGCAACAATGGCAGCTTGGTTTAAGCAAAAGTATCCTCATTTAGTTAAAGGAAGCTGGGCTTCAAGGTTCGATGATAAGGCTAGACAATACAATTTTTAAAAATGTTAACATTTTTTTCTACTTCAAGTGCACCGCTCCATGCAAAATTGAATTATTTTGAATATACAGAAACGGTTGCAGAATCTATTCGAACGACAGGCGGTGACAAATGTTACAACATCATTGAAGGCATATTTGGGGCTATAGAAAATTTGATTGAACATAATGATTCCGAGTCGTTAAAAACTGTATTCAAAGTTTGTGATAATTTTGATATAACCAACATTTTGGATGTTTGGAATTTTTATAGTACAGCCAAAGATTTTTTTTCTGGCCTTGTACAGTATGGTACGCAAAATTCAATCAATTCGTATTGTAAATATTTGGTCACTGGAAATGCAAACGCGACAAATGACCTTGAGTCTCTTCGTCCATTCGCGAAATCATACATTGATAGTTTCTTGCCACCAAATGCAAAATGTATTCCAATTTCTTATGAAGATGAACTGAAACAATTAAAAAAAGATAATACATCTGTGGCGAATGCATTTAGACCGTGGTTTTATCAAACTTGTTCGGAATTTGGTTGGTATCAAACAACTGACTCACAAAAACATCCCTTTGGCTCTAAATCTCCTGTGGATTTTTATTTGAAAATGTGCCAAGATGTATTTGGTGATGTGTATGTTATTGAAATTGATATTTTATAAATTTTCAATGAAATTAATTTTGTGCATCCAACTTTTAGATTCAATAATTCGACTTTCGAGGGAAATATGAATCATACCAATGATTTTTATGGTTCTTTACATCCAGCAGTGACAAATGTGTACTTTACACACGGCTCGCTTGATCCGTGGCATAAAATGGGCATTTTAGATGATCTTAATATACATTCTCCAAGCACGGTTATTCAAGGTTTTATTATTAACATTCACGTTGATGTTTCTATATTTCTTTGACACCATTGAATTTAATGTGATTTTAATTTTTAGGCATTTCTCATTGCCGAGA